GTTCTTGAGATATTGCATTCATAAGAATGGGACGAATGGACAACCTAACAACATAATGCCTCCGGCAACCATCAACTAAGAATCCCAACTGCTACTGAGGGAGTACTATCCTCAGTGGAAAACAAAGCAGAGGAAAGGACCTGGCACCAAAAGAAAGTCCAGTAGAGTCGAGTTGAGCTGAATATGCAGTAGAAATTCAGCATTGATCTTCTACTCATCCCATTGGACAACCTTTTAGTGTTCCGAGGCACCCTCTCTAGACGTTACATTTATCATTGCTACTCCCATTTGGCAGAAAGCAAACACAATAATCAGCCCCCTGGATTAGCTGTTGTTGTTGCAGATCAGCTGAAGATACGTCTCTACAGGCTATTGTACCTTTAGAATTCTATGTAACTGACATGACCCTACAGGGAACTGCTTCCAGACATTTTTGTTTGATTTTTGATGAGACGTTTTCATTTAAAAGCAGTACAAATTCCAGACTTGAATCAAGCATCTCATATCACTGATCTTAGCTGTCCTTAATCAGTACATCTTCTTCCTGCTGAAGGTCAGGGTGTGTCTCTGCCTCTGCCTGTCTGTCAGGTCAGCATGCTTCACATAACCACCTTGCTGCTCCTAAACCTCCTGTTAGTCCAGTCTAACCATAAAACGACATTACAGCCAGCGTTTACTTACCAGCAGTGAACCAAAAAGCAGAGAGCAGCACGCCACAGGTGCAACCGAGGAGGACGCCGTTAACATTTACATCTTGCACTGTCATGAGCTCAAACCTGCTGTCCATAAGTAGATGCACGCTTCCTTTTACGCTGTATCTTAATGTAAACCTCTTCAGCAGTAAGTCAAGTAAGTTGACTAATTGAGTAAGGAGTGGGTGGTTAGGTTTAGGTGACAAAACTACTTTGTAGGGTTAGGAAAAAATCAGTGTTGAAGTTAGTCATGTCAGTAGAGTCACATAACTACTGATGTGACAAAATAACTCAATGCTGACTTTTAGTTTTACATGGGACACAAACACTGGGTTTATATTGGAGGTGGGTGAAAGCCCGGTGCACCTTATACAGACACTACAGGGTGCTCCCAGAGTCACTATAATAATGCCAGGGAAACTTCCCAAGCAGCATATGTTGATGCCCTGGGAGTGAGATCATGCTGAAATCAGCTTTACTATGGGTCAATGACTGATTAGCTCATATATCACATCAACAGTTGCACTTTTAAACATGTGGGTAATGCTGTGAAAAGGTCAGAACTGGAAAAAAAATCACATGACAACTTCACCTGACTTCCTGGTTTGCTCCTGTCATAATCACTACAGCCACTAGAGGTCACCCTCTAAAACTGAATGTACATATTGGTTGTAATTTCTGCTTGAATAAATTACCTGCAGGGTCATATTTTGCAGGAACACAGTCTTGGTGAAGAGAAAACATATTTGCTGTGACTCTGACTTTGTACCATCTGCATTTGCATTATGACAGTGTGAGGAGCTGAGTATGTTGCTGTTATTCACAGCTCCACTGAAACTACCTTTAGTGGCCAAACATACCAAAGTTCTGTTTCTATCATAAATCAAACCTTGAATAATGATCGAGCACAGGCCTGTGATGGTAGTGCTCCAAGCCACACCTCGTGACTCAGCTGTGTGAACAACAGCCCTTCCAGTTGTGGCTTGTTAATCACACCCAAATGAATATGTGTGTGTGTAGCTGTGTGTGTATGTGTTTGATCATGTTGCTGTTGATGGATGGATGATAAGTGTTTGTGCAGCATGCATAATGTTAGGTGTGCAGGCCAATAAATATGTCTGCTCACTTTATGTATTGGTGTTTAAGAGGCAGGTGGGAGGCATCTTTTCAAAACGCATTATTACAAGTCAGACTCCTTAGCTGCACCATGTTTAAGGGTACAGAGTTCATTTGCTTGCTTACAGAACTAAAGTTACACAAGACAAGAGTTTAATGGAGCTGCCCAGTTGATGTAAATTTTGTGTCAAGGAGTGTCTATTAAACTGATATTAGAAACATTATATATCAAATATCAAGGAAACTTTTTTCCCCCCAAAATTTTCTTTTTTTAAAAATTATTTTATGGTGTTTTATTAGATGTCTCTTGAGCTGTCCTTAGTTTGGTCTAAAGGGATAGTTTGGATTTTTTGAAATGGGGCTTCATAAGGTAGTTTTTCAAGTCAGTGTATCAGATACAGTAGATGTCCCTTGGTGCACTCCCAGTTTAGACAAACAGGCTGGCGTTCGACATGGAATCTAACAGAGAGCAAATTCTGACAGGGAGCTGAAGCCATTATATTGCTCTTTTCAAAGCCAAACTCCATTAAGACAAACAGCTAAAAAATGTATCTGCTGGTCTACCAATGCCTCAATCAGTTAATTTGTTTGTGCTATTGTGTGGATTCAGTGTTTAAAAGGGTTAGTTTGGATTCACCGAAGTCACACAATAACACAAAGTAACTAACTGATCAAAGCAGTGGTAGACCAGCAGCTCCCATGTTCAGTGAGCCAGTGAGTGTTTTTATCAATGGAGGCTGGTTGAATTGATGAGAGCATTGGTAGTCCCTGAAACAGCTTCCCAGTAGAAACACTGGGAACACTGGTTCTGTCTGACAGAAAGGTAAAGTGGTGAAAATATTCTCAGTATAGCATACACTTAAACTGTAATAGATTTGTTTAGGTGGCTAAAATATGTTTTGCTGTTGTCCCCAACCACAGCATTAGATTGCTTAGCAACCATGTTGGCACTCCTGCCTGCTTCTCCAACCTGGGGGCGTGCTGACCAACATATAGTGTATGTAATATACTGTCTATGGATGAGGACCCCTTACTACCCCACTTCAAAAAAGCAGCTTATCAACTCTTAAAATTTTGCATATCAAAAGTTTATGAAGGTTATGAGCTTTAGTTTCAATGAATGTTTTCCAATTGGCAGTTCTATCAAGAAATACAGTCAAGGCTTGAAAAAGCTTTTGTTTACAGCTGATTTATTTAAACTGTTGAGGAAAAAAAATCTATAGAAAACATGTTTCAAATCCCACTCCTCTTACCCATAGTGTTTATAAATCTTATAGAAACAAATATACTGATTAAGTTAGATCGGCAATAAAATAAAATAAAAATTCAGTGAAGAATTTAAGAGGTGTTCAAAGGATATTAAAACCATGTGGAAAGTCATGAATCGGTCCTGCAAAGAGAAAAGACTGCACCAGAGTTACCCCCAGTCTTTTTGGATGGGGAAAATTCTTTCAACAATCCATTTGATATAGCTCAAACATTTAATGATTTTTATTTATTTTTGTTAACATTGGTTATGAATTAACAAATAAAGTTCCTCCTTGTCTTGGTTATCCACTGGATTTTATTCCAAGAAGTTTTCCTATTATCTCTTCTTTTAAGCCCCATGATATCCATGAAATAAGTGACATAATTGATGAATAAAAATCATCATCAGCTGGTCATGACAATATTTCTGTATATCTTGTTAAATAGGTGAAACAGTCTAAGTGCAGTCTATACTGCAGCTATTGGTTCACATCTTTTTATTTTCTTTGAAAACAGGCATTGTGCCTGTGGATTTAAAGGTTACCAAAGTTTTACCTTTGTTTAAAGCAGATGATCTATGTTGTTTTAATAGTTATAGACCCATCTCTATTTCGCTATGTTTATTAAATATTTTAGAAAAAAAATATAAACACATTCGTTTTTACTTAGATTCAAATTCAGTTCTGTACAAACATCAGTAAAGTTAACTCTGCACTTGAGAACAATGAGTATACATGTAGTATTTTCATTGACATTTCAAGAGCTTTTGATACAGTAAACCATCAACCCACCTTTTATTAGAAAAACTGTATAAATATGTTTTTTATGATGCTACAGGCTATATTACCCTGTGGGATTCCGCAGGGATCCATTCTTGGACAATAAGTATTCCTCATCTATATACTCATCTAACCAATGTAAAGTGTCTTTGAGTATATAAATGAGTTATCTAATGTCTCAAATATGCTTTCCCCAGAAATATTTGCAGACGACACAACCCTTGTTCTCTCCAATTCAAATTTTTATTCACTGGTCAAAGATGCCAATGCTGGTTTAACTGCCTGTGCTATATGGTTCAGACTAAAGAAATTATCTTTGAATATAAGAAAATCTAACTTTATTATTTTCAGTGGCCAAAAAAGGTACACCAAAGATTTATCCAAAATTTCAATTGAGTCTATTGAGATGCATCGAGTGTAGAGGTCAATTTTCAATAAGATTTAGCAGAACTTAACTATGGAATTTTCTTCCACCTGGTAAAAACCTGTATCGCTATGAAGTGCTACAAAAGATGCCCGAAAAAAATATTTTTAAGTGCTGTTTTGTAATGGGTTTTCCTCCTCTTATTAATTAATTAATTAATTATCCAAGTTTTGTTTTGTTTCAGTCATTATGATGCATTTTTATTGCTCGAGGGTCAAAACAGCATAAACTATTGGCCCCCTCATGCACACACACACAAACACACAAACACACACACACACACACAAACACACACACACACACACACACACACACACACGCCTAATTACACTAACATCAACTTACACATCATACACTCACTATTATAGCTGTTTTTTGTTGTTGCAGTCAAACATATTTTGGTATTAGTAGTTTGTTATCACTTGTTTTATTTTATTTATTGTTCTTTATATTTCTTTATTTCTATAATTTTGAGTTCTTAATAACACTAAAAAATAGGCCCTCTGTTTTTTTTGCCTCTCCCTGCACATTCATTTTTCTTGCGTTTTTTGTGTTTAATTGTGCAAAAAAATAAACTATAAACTATACACATCATTCAAAAGTTACCAAAATATAGTATTTGCTTGACCTCAGCTTGTCCGATCTCTGACTGTAGGTATTGCTGCAAAATGCATCACCAGTACCAGCAGGGCGTAAATGACAACACATCTGATTACTAACACTGTTTGTCTTCCTCTTTAGTCAATCCTTCTGCTGAGGTCCCCGCTGTAACCATGGCATCCCGGCAGAAGCAGCCCCAAGGGCGTAGCCTGTCCTCTCTGTTTTCTTGTTGCTTCAAAGGAAGTGAACAACCAGAGATCACCTACTGCCATGATAACCTCAACACTGTGGCTATGGAGCCCACCCTGCCCATGCCCCCCCCTCAAGAGCTGGACTCTATGTTCACTGAGCTGGTGGTGAGTACAACACCAGAGAGGCCTTCAAATATCCATAATTATTCAACAGCTGACTTTTTATGTCTTTATATTTATCATTCTCCCTTTCTGTCTCCTATCCCAGGATGAGCTTGGCCTCACAGAGGAGCACAGAGCTGCCATGTTTTCTTTGCCAGCAGAGAAAAAATGGCAGATCTACTGTAGTAAAAGAATGGTAAGAAACTATAACTAAGGGACAACAAGAGTTCAGTGTGCTTCAAATGAACTACGTCATGGCATGAACATAGCTAAAGTGTTTTTAAATGTTGGAAATAGAAACACAGAGAGAACAGTGATGAATCACACAACACCTCATACTGTCAGTCTCTCCTAGAAGAGATTTATGATGTTGCACTTGTTCACATGAGTTTGTGAAGAATGTCAGATTGTTTCAGAATGCTACAAAACTTGTCGGCCACAGCCCATTTCAGTAGTTTATTAAACAGCTATTTAATTTGAAGCATACTGAGGTCTTAATATTGCCTGTGGAGCAAACAAAGGTATCCTGGCTAGCAAATCACACTGCCTTAGTTTTACATGTTAATGACCAAACAATCTGGCAAGTAACATACATTGTTTTATTATTCATTTTATCATTCATTCATCATTCAATGACTCTCTCTCAGTCTAACTCCTGCATGTATCCTCTTGAAGCTAATAGGCTCTATGAAAGCAGACGCCATCAGTTGGGAAGTGTCTCATCTTCAAGTTTGTTGCTGTATTTTGGGTTTTTACTAGAACATCTTTATGTGCTTTAGGAGTCAAAAACACTGTGATACTCTCTGTCTGAAACACTCTTAGTGCCTGTCTCTTTAAGCCCCCCAAATGAAAAAGTGCCATCTGCTCTGATTGATCAGCATTTCTCAAGTCAAGTCAAATTTATTTATAAAGCATATTTAAAAACAACCCAAGTTGACCAAAGTGCTTCACAGTTAAAAATGAATAAAAGAGATACAAGTGAAGTAAAATAATAAACTGAACAAAAACAGCAACCAATATAGATCAAGGCACAAATAAACACAAAGGCAACATCAGGAGGACTCAAAAGCTTTAGTAAAAAGGAATGTTTTTAGCCTTGATTTAAAAGAGTCGTTGGAGGGGGCAAGTCTGACAGAAGGGGGAATGCTGTTCCAGAGTCTGGGGGCTGCGACCACAAAGGCATGGTCACCCCTGAGTTTAAAATAAGTGCTAACCTGAGGGGTCTGGAGGTGGAGTATGGGGTTAAAAGTTCTGTCATGTAGGAGGGGACCACTCCAATCAGGGCTTTGTATGTGAATAAAAGAAGTTGAAAATCAATACGGTACTGCACTGGCAGCCAGTGGAGAGAGGCTAGGACAGAGGTGATGTGGTCTCTCTTTGGTTACCTGTCAAAAGTCTGGCTGCAGTGTTTTGTACTACTTGAAAATGGGAGAGAGATGACTGATTAATTCCAGTCTATAGAGAGTTGCAGTAGTCCAAGTGAGTGGAAATGAAAGCATGGTTGACTTTTTCTAGGTCCTTGAAACTGAGGAATGGTTTGATTTTTGTGATGGTGTGAAGTTGGGAAAAAACTGGCTTTGACTACTGAGTTGACCTGTTGATCAAACTTGAGTGCAGAATCAAAAATGACACCAAGGTTTTTGACATGAGGTTTGATAAGAGTGGACAGGTTGCCAAGACTGTTGGATATCAGGTTGATGTTGTCAGAGGGGCCAGAGAGAATGATTTCGGATTTAGCTTCATTTAGTTGAAGGAAGTTTACTGCCATCCAGGACTTTATTTCATTGATGCAGTTGAAGATAATGGTGAGTTTGTATTGGTCGTTTGGTTTGAGGGGAAGATAGAGCTGGGTGTCGTCAGCATAGCAGTGGAAAGAGATCTCCGCCTTTTGGCGTCCCTTCACTGTCATTACAGCAATGATTGTAATGGAGAATGGCGGCACTTTTTTATTGTGAAAAATCACCCTTAAAAGTTCCTACGCCCAACTGGACATGTTCCAGCAGGAAAACGATCCAAAATCAGGGAAAAATTGACAACATCGACAAACAAGATTGCATGTTTCCCTGACGTTAGAATGTAGCTTATTGTAGCAATGTAGGCTATGTAATGTAAACACATGCGTGCCTGGAGCAGATGGCCATATAAAGGGATTACTTTTACATATGTTCATGTCATTATTTGAAACTTCAGCCACATTTAATATGAACATCTGTCACTGTAACATCATAAATATGACAGAAAATAAAAAAAATAATAATAGGTTCCCTTTTAAGATAAAGTACCTCTAATTGCTAGTAGATGCTAGCATCAATAAAGGGGCTAATAGGCAAGATCAGACACATTGTCATTATATGTAAGCATATCCATGACACTGACCTCTTTGTGTGTATATGTGTGTATTGCAGGAGGCAGAGGTGAATAAGGGAGCAACCAGATGGCCAGAGTATTATATTGACCAGCTCAGGGTCATGGCTGCTGTGAGTTACACTCTGTTTTTATTCTGTTCATCAGTTTATTCACAGACAGATTTTGCTTTATTACCAATTCTATTTATAAAATGTGGAAATATTGATGATTTTTATGGAAACACTTTGAATACATTTAACAACATTTGGTTGTATTAGTCAAAGGAACAGAGCCAAACTGTCTCCATCATTGCCTTTGAGTGAATATACAGCATATTTGGAATAATGAAAAACTGGCGTTATTTAGTTTATCCTGTCTTTTCCCAGAGGAAGACTCTGCTGTCACTGGAGGATGATGAAGAGCAGGGAAGACATTATATCGTGGATGATCTAAAGACAGCGCTTAGAACACAGCCAATGAGGTACGATTCCAGTTCTAACACACGTTATTCTGGAAATACAGAAATTTACCAAAGCTTTATTTCGTCCTCCCTGTACTGCAGGGACCTAAAGAATAATCTTTACCATTCTGATTTACCTCCTTCAGTTTTGTGACACGATTCATTGAGTTGGACGGCCTGTCTTGTATCCTGAATTTCCTCAAGTCAATGGACTACGAGACCACCAACTCTCAGGTCCACACCTCACTGATTGGCTGCATCAAAGCTCTGATGAACAACTCTCAGGGCAGAGCTCATGTCCTGGGTCACTGTGAGAGCATTAATATCATCGCACAGAGTCTCACCACTGAAAGCATCAAAACCAAGGTACACACAGTGCAATCGATACCCCAGAATAACAAAGCCAAAGTCGGCTTGCAATGTTCAAATGCAAATATACTGAATAGAAAACAATGAAATGTCAGAGACCCTTTGCTATGACATTTGATATTTAGCTCAGGTGCCTCTCGTTTCTCTCGATCACCTTTGAGATGTTTAAGCACCTTGAATGGAGTCCACCTATGGTAGATTCAGTTGATTGGACATGGTTTTGAGAAGCAAACACCTGTCTATATAGGGATGGGATGGAAGGAACTGCCTGCAGAGCTCAGTCTTCATGATTCTTTTCCAAACTGAGTGTTTCTCACACATTTATTACTATTTCTATTAGGTTAGACTTTTACTTCAATCAAACAATCAATACTTGGCCATCTAACATCCCCATGTGCCAGTAAATAATTATGAAATTCTTTCTCCCTCTCATTTGTAATTGTCTGATCTTCTTTCTCTCCTTAGGTTGCAGTGTTAGAGATCCTTGGTGCAGTATGTTTGGTGCCAGGAGGTCATAAGAAAGTACTAGAAGCCATGCTGCACTACCAGAAATATGCCTCAGAGAGAACACGCTTTCAGGTTTGCTTGTGCTTCATTTGTTTGTGCTCTATTTCATTTTCTGCTGGGGCTCATGGAAGCGTGGAGGAGATAGATTCTGATTTCTAGACATGATGACACAAAGCTTAAAGGAATTCTACAATATTCAGAGCATTAATATAGCAGCATGTAATTATTTGCTATGTATAGATATAGTGGAGTAATGGCATCCCAAGCATAGAATTAAATCACACCACCTCTGTGTGTGTGTTGTAATTCAAGCTTTTCTGTTAGTTGTTGTGGTAGATGGTGTGACCATGTGAACGTGTCTGTGCATGTGTCTCTACACTGGCTGGCTAATCAGTTCTCACTCTCAACTTGTCAAATACTGACGTTAGGTCAGTGGCCTGTCACATCAAAATATGATGCACTAGGTACCCTCCTGCATCAGTTTTGGAGTGTCAATTAACGCTCATTACATGCATCAGGAAGTGTACAGTTTGTTAAATGCTGTCTTTTTTTTTCAAATAAACATAGGTAGGTAAAATATGTAGGTTCACTTTCTAAGGTTTAGGCATCAAAAGCAAGTGGTAAGGTTTAGTAAAAACATCATGGTTTGGCTTAAAATAAACACGATTGTTACTAACGTAATGTAACGTAACATGACATACATCACTAGCATAGTATACGACACATACTAGCACACTACGCTGTTATTAAAACAACTTCATTGACTTTTGGTTTCACACAGGACATGAACAGTCGGCTCCCTGGTGAAAGTCCAGTGTTTGTTTAACCCATCCACCTCCCCTCCTGCCCATTCTATACAGACTTTGTTGCTATTTTTATGACTGTAGGTGTCCAGAGTGTCAACAAATGCTGCTGTATGGGTCATCTCATACCACTGCTCAAGTGTGCCTCTGTGCGTCGATGTCCATGTTGAGAACCATGTGCAGACAATCTTTGAATCATAGATATAGCTCCGTTAACACTCAGAGCAAACCATGTCACCAGGAGAAGTCTCTTTGTGTGCCATAGACAATATGTTATTATTACTGATTAATAAAATGCTGATTATAATAATCAATAGCAAAGCACTACTAGACAAATGACATACAGATTGTTGCAGAGAATGCATCTGATTGGGGTTCAGCAATAAAGTCATTGCAAATAGAAGACGGATGTTAGATGCTGATACCATAACCAACTAGATTTCTAGCCTACAGTTAATATATTTGAATTTAGCTCTCTGCACTGCTTGCCCTTCTTTCACTCATAGCAATCCCATCATGCTTCACCACAGGAATCTGTTGCTTCTTATTAAAATAGCTTATAGCTTAAAATAGCTTCTTATTAAAAATAAGCTGGGGTGGATATCTCTGCCTTGCTCACCATATTCAGTCTGTTTCAAAAGAATAAGCCCCACTGGTAACTAATGTGTTGACATGTTAAAGTTAGTAAATCAAAGTTTAAAGTAACATTTTCTCTGTTAAGATGACTAATTTTATGCCTCAAATATGTATCAACTTCATATTACAATTTATAGTGATTTCTACCATAATTTTGAGGGTTATCTGATATCTCAAAAACATAAAAAAGACCAAAACCTATTTATGATACAAACATGTTTTATGATGGTTTCACCTGAATATATTTTGCTGTGTTTACAGACCCTGGTGACAGACTTGGATAGATCCACAGGCCGCTACAGAGATGAAGTTAATCTGAAGACTGCCATTATGTCCTTCATCAATGCTGTGCTCAGCCAGGGAGCAGGAGAGGTGAGGAAGCATCTACAGTGCCCTCTAAAAGTATTGGAACAGTGAGTCCAATTGGTTTACTTTTGTTGTAGACTGAAAACATTTGGGTTTGACATCAAAAGATGAATATGAGACAAGAGATCAACATTTCAGCTTTTATTTCCAGGTATTTACATCTGGTTCTGATACACAACTTAGAAGATAGCATTATTTGTAATGGAACACAAAATTTTTAGGTGAGCAAAAGTATTGGAACATATAAACTTAAAATAGATTAAAGTGAATGAGACTTAATATTTAGTTGCAAATCCTTTGCTTTCAATAACTGCATCAAGCCTGTGACCCATTGACATCACCAGACTTTTGTATTCTTCTTTTGTGATGCTTTTCCAGGCTTTCACCGCAGCCTCTTTCAGTTGTTGTTTGTTTTGGGGGGTTACTCCCTTCAGTCTCCTCTTCAGCAGGTAAAATGCATGCTCTATTGGGTTTAAGTCTGGAGACTGACTTGGCCAGTCTAAAATCTTCCACTTCTTGCCCCTGATGAACTCCTTTGTTGTTTTGGCAGTGTGTTTTGGGTCGTTATCTTGCTGCATGATGAAGGATCTCCCAATCAGTTTGGTTGCATCTTTCTTTAAATTAGCAGACAAAATGTTTCTGTAGACTTGTGAGTTCATTTTGCTGCTGCCATCATGTGTTACATCATCAATGAAGATGAAAGAGTCCGTCCCAGAAGAAGCCATGCAAGCCCAAGCCATGACATTACCTCCACCGTGTTTCACAGATGAGCTTGAATGTTTGGGATCATGAGCAGATCCTTTCTTTCTCCAAACTTTCACCTTTCCATCACTTTGGAAAAAGTTAATCTTTGTCTCATCAGTCCATAAAACTTTTTCCCAGAATTTTTGAGGCTCATCTCTGTACCTTTTGGCAAATTCCAGCCTGGCCTTCCTATTCTTCTTGCTAATGAGTGGTTTGCATCTTCTGGTGTAGCCTCTGTACTTTTGTTCATGAAGTCTTCTGCGAACAGTAGATTGTGATACCTTCACTCCTGCCCTCTGGAGGTTGTTGCTGATGTCACTAACAGTTGTTTTAGGGTCTTTCTTTACAGCTCTCACAATGTTTCTGTCATCAACTACTGATGTTTTCCTTGGTCTACCTGTTCGACGTCTGTTGCTTAGTACACCAGTGGTTTCTTTCTTCTTCAGGACATTCCAAATTGTTGTACTGGCTATGGCCAATGTTTGTGCAATGGCTCTGATTGATTGTCCATCTTCTTTCAGATTCACAATTGCTTCTTTTTCACCCATAGACAGCTCTCTGGTTTTCATGTTGGTTCCACCTCTAAATGCAGTCTGCACAGGCAAAACCTATCGTACCCAGTCTGAAACTGAGCTCAGACATCCAGTGCTATTTATTGTTTGAATAATCAATGTAATTGGGAGACACCTGGGCAACAAAACACACCTGTCAGTCACATGTTCCAATACTTTTGCTCTCATGAAAAATGGGTGGGTTCAAACAAAAGGTGCTATCTTCTAAGTTGTGTATCAGATCCAGATGTAAATACCTGGAAATGAAAGCTGAAATGTTGATCTCTTGTCCCATATTCATCTTTTGATGTCAAACCCAAATATTTTCAGTCTACAACAAAAATAAAGGAATTGGCCTCACTGTTCCAATACTTTTGGAGGGCACTGTATGTGTCTCTGCTTTGTTGTAAATAGGATCATTTTATCATGTCAGGTGTCTTTTAGGAGTTGGTTTATGATGCAGCATGATACTATAAGATGATAGATATGATACCACTTTTCCTCAAGATAGATAATTTAAAACCAGGTGGAAATGTGCACGTCAAACCAGCAGTTAATGTATACTGATATATGATATCATATGAATTAGCTCCGCACGAATGATGTTGCAAATTTAATGTAAAGTTACGTATCTAACATAAAGTTATGGAGGTTAGGTTCAGGCAGGAAAAATACTGTGGTTAGGTTAGGAAGAGAAACATGGTAACAACCCCCCTTCAAATGATTCAAAGTTCACACGGTTCCAAACACCAGTCACCTGGAGAAAGTCCCATTCTTTGTGACCCATCCAGAACCCCAAGCTACATCCTTATGGAGACTACTTCCTCCTTAACTCCCATCAGCACATTTGTCACATAATTACAGCCTTCCAAAAACTGAGGATAATACATGAATTACTAGCTCATCATTTCATGGGATATGATATCACTGGGTATCGTGGTCCAGATAGCTATAAAATCCGGCCACTGTGTTGGGTCACTTTGATGCAGGTAGAGTGACATGACGGTCATCAACATTTATGTATCGCAGACACTCAGGTTTAGACAAGGTTGCAAAACAAGTTTTAGACATTTCTATAACTATCACTTTCTTCCTTGCATCTGTTCCCTTCCTGTTGGACAATAACTCAACATGGCAATGTTGTGTGTGCGTGTGTGTGTGTGTGTGTGTGTGTGTGTGTGTGTGTGTTTAGACCAGTCTGGAGTTCCGTATCCATTTACGCTATGAGTTTCTGATGTTGGGCATTCAGCCGGTCATCGACAAGCTACGCTCCCATGACAACGCCACTCTAAACAGGTACATCAGGTGCACCAAAGGGTGCTAGCATATTGAAACATTACTACTATTTGACTTTGAACTAATATGTACATAAAAGGTCAGAAAACATATTTGTACTTTTAAATACTTTGATTTTAAATAGCTTTCTGAGTTCAGTTGTTATGTTTATGCTGTTAACAGACATCTGGACTTCTTTGAGATGCTGAGGAATGAAGATGAACTCCTGATGTCCAAACAGTTTGATGCTGTAAGTCATTTCAGACAAACCTTTATATACACTGCTCAAAAAAATCAAAGGAACATTTAAATCACACATCAGATCTTGATGAACGAATTATTTGAGTTGAATCTTTACTGATGTACATTGTATAATTTGTTGAGAACAAAATGATGCAACAATGGTCAATGGAAACCAAAACTGAGCACCAAAAATCAAGGTCAAGAATTGAAATCACAGGCTGATCCAACATGTATGAATTTTATAACGGCAACCCATAATGTGACTCAGTAGTGTGTACGGCCCCTGCATGCCTGTATACACCCCCCCGACAACTTCTGGGCATGCTCCTGAAAAGTCGGCAGATGGTGTCTGGGGGATCTCCTCCCAGACCTGAATCAGGGCATCAGTTAGCTCCTGGACAGTCTGTGGTGGTACTTGGCAGCATGGGATGCACCAATACATTGTGTCCCATAGGAATTGGATGTAGTTCAGAGGAATAAGAGGGCCAGTCAATAGCATCAATGCCTTCATCATCCAGGAACTGCCTAATCACTCTGGCCACATGAGGCCAGCTATTGTCCAGCACCAGGAGGAACCCAGGGCCCACTGCACCAGCGTAAGGTCTGACAATCACTCTGAGGATTTCATCCTGGTCCCTAACAGCATCCAGGGTACTGTTGGCTATGGCATGGAGGTCTGTGCGACATTTCAAGGATATGCCTCCCCAGACCACCCACTACCAAGCTGGTCATGCTGGATGATGTTACAGGCAGCATAACGTTAACCACGGCATCTCCAGACTCTTTCATGCCTGTCACATGTGCTCAGTGTGAACCTGTGAGGAGAACAGGGCAAAGATGGGGACCAGCCAATTATGTTTGCTGGCAAATGCCAGTTGAGCTGCATGGTGCTGGGCTGTGAGCACAGGTCCCACTAAAGGACGTTGGGCCTTCATGCCACTCTTGTGCAGTCTGTTTCTCACAGTTTGGTCAGAAACATGCACACCAGGAGCCTGCTGGAGGTCATTTTGTAGAGCTCTGACAGTGCTCCCCCTGTTCCTTCTTGCACAAAGGAGCAGAAACCAGTCCTGCTGCTGGGTTGATGCCCTCCTATGGCCCTGTCCAGCTCTCCTGGTGCAACAGCCCGTCTCCTGGTATCTCGTCCATGCTCTTGAGACTGTGCAGGGAGACACAGCAAACCTTGTTGCGACCTCATGTATGGATGTGCCATCCTGGAGGCGCTGGACTACCTGTGCAACCTGATTGGGCTGCGGGTACCACCTCATGTTACCAGTAGTGACAAGGACACTAGCAGAACACAAAACTAGAGAAGAATCAGTCAGGAAGGATGAGAAGAGAGCAACTGTAAAACCATTCTCTTTTTGGTGGTTGTCTTGCTTTTGCTTCTCCATGCACCTAAATGTACAGATTGATATCCCTGAAGTTTAACTGACTTGGTGTTATACTGTGAGGATTAAGTGTTCCCTTAATTCTTGGGCTGTGTAGATTTTCTTTGTTTTACATCCTATAGATCTAGTAAGCAGCTGAAGTCCAAGTAGCTCTTAAGGATGAAAAGACACTCAGGAGTAGTGTATTCCAGTGTTCCCTTATAATAAAACACACTTGACCCAGCTTGTCTTCAGCTTTACTTTTCTTTTTGATGTTAAATAAAGTGTAAAAATGCAAATTAGCTGTACACTGTGTTATAAACCTGCTGATTAATATTATTTGTTTCAGGTCCATATAGAAACTAAAAGTGCCAGCCAGATGTTTGAGCTGATCAGGAAGAATCTGAACCATACTGAAGCTTACCCTCACCTCCTGTCTGCACTGCAGCACTGTCTCATGATGCCATGTAAGACTGGCTGTCTGCCTACAAGTACATTATTAATAATATTTTTTTTTTATTGCCATAAATGATCCATGACAGCAGCAGCTTGTCCATCTGTTGACTCTTCTCTGTCTATCTGTCTGTCTGTCTGTCTGTCTGTCTATCTGCAGATAAGCAGAACAGTACCACTCTTCAGTACTGGGTGTTGTTGGATCGGATAGTTCAGCAGCTGGTTCTGCAGACGGACAAAGGTGAAAACCCTGATGTTGCTCCACTGGAGGACTTCAACGTGAAAAATATTGTGCGCATGTAAGTTTTCTGGGTTCCTAACTTTAGCACTTGATTAGTGCTGCACGCTTTCCAGTTTTTAGTAATGATGACATATTTAAATAGCCCCAGGGGAACAGTGCTCTATGATAAGCACAGACAGCTTCTAGTTACCTTCTACATTCAGTCAAGACTTAAGGTTACTTAAAGGTTGCTCAGTTGTTTGAATAAGCCAATAAAAACTAATGGAATGGTCAATGGTCAGTACATTGATTATAAGGAACAAAACATTTACTGGGAACAAGCCTTCTCAGGTTTAGGGGTGACTCATGGGTACACATGGACCACCAAGCAGTCCGGTATGGTTTAGTTCAGATCGTTACCCATTTTTTCTGTTTCCACTGTGAAAAGTTGTGGATGGTACCAGTGGAACCGTTCCTTACCGTCCTCTGTTGGGGTACCTAGCACACAGATCTGGTACTAAAAGGTGGAGCTAAAAACAGTCCGTTGTTTGGTAAATAGCAGACGGTGACTCTTGCTCAGGGCTGAGTTGAGGCTGGTTTTGAAGCTTATGTAACCTCTGTTCATACCATGGCAAGTCTTACATGCATTAGTAAACTACAACAATAAAATAAAAGTATGTTTTGCTGCCTCTTACAGCAGCTGTAGACTGAGAAAAAAATAACTTCATTCACTGGGCCGACTGCTGACAACTTTTAAGGTGGAACATTTACTTGTAATGTTACTCGGTGCTTGAATTGATGAATCGACTCCATCAGCACACCTTAAATTTCAAATAAGAAACCAAAGTGCATCAGTAAGTAAGTTTCCCTTACCCTCATATTGTCATAATTTTCAGCTAGCCTGTATACTACAACGGCATAATAGAATTCCTAAAATTCAATCATGGCTTTTGGTTTTGGTATGTCATCCCAAAATCATCAGTGGCCCCATCTGGCCACTCCTCCAAAAAATTTCTGAGGGCACCGCTAGTAGTCATAGTAATGGTCGTAGATCACCTCATGTTGGAGAACTTCTTTCAGTTGTGTGTGTGTTTGTGTCTACAGGCTTGTCAAGGAGAGTGAGGTCAAACAATGGAAAGAACAAGCTGATAAAATGAGAAAAGGTAAACGCACATATACTTTACTGTGGTATACATTCTACAAGTCTGCAGAGGGGACTGGAACTTTGCAACCTGTTACAAACACAAATGATGTAGAGCTGGACTGGACCAGTCAGTTTAAATATATCTATTGTTCCCATAATCACTGCAGGTTTTCATGTACACATGAACAATCAAAAACAATACAAAGTATGTTGCACTTTGCTAATTTCACTATGGATCAATGAAACAAACATCAAGGTCCAAGCACGCAATACAAGTCAGAGCCATAATCATGGTAAATAAGTCAAGATGCAGAAAGTAAGGCTGCTTGTTTGTTTATCAGCTTGATGAACATTTCTAATAACTCAACCATAGTTTGCAGAATGAACTACCTCCTGTAAGTCACTTGTCTCTAGCTGTCTCACCTTCTCTTCTCTCCAGAGCATCACAACTTACAGCAGCGGTTTGAAAAGAAAGAGAGAGAATGTGAGGCCAAGAACAAGGAGAAGGAAGACATGATGGCCATGCTGAACAAACTGAAAGACAAACTGGAGCGAGAGAGCAACGAGAACAAGCAAGCTAAACAACAAGTGGCAGAACTTTCTGCTCAGCTGCAGCAGCTCAGCTCTGTAAGTTCACCGACATGACATACATTTATTTTCTCAAAAGATCCCAGTTTCAGCATGATCATGTCTTGGTCAGCTGTTCATAATGAAAACTATCCTGTTGTCTTGTCAGACTTCCAGTGTTCCAGGAGGACCTCCTGTGACTTCTGGTGGTTTGGTTACCCCTGGTCCTGTTCCATCCATCCCTGTTCCTCCTCCTCCTCCTCCACCACCGCCTCCGCCTCCTCCAGGGGGCCCACCAGCTTTTGGTTTGGTTCCATTTGCCCCACCTCCTCCACCAGGAGCTCCACTAAGCACTGCCCCGAAGAAGAATATTCCTCGGCCAGCTAACCCACTCAAGTCCTTCAACTGGAGCAAACTGCCTGAGGTACACTTTCTACTGCCAAGGCCTGTTAATGTTACTGCTGCTACATCTCCTGTTGGTACTGTCACTTCTGCTCATATTATACTTTTTCACATACACATACTGCATATGCAACTGCAGTGTTGCCACAACTATTCCAGCTGTTACTACAGCATTACTTCTGCAGTGCTTCTCAGGTATCTAAACAATACGAAGGCCCGTTTTTATGTTGTGTTGTGAAGTAATCGAAATCCAGCATCTTCCAAACTTCTCATGCCCAATGTTATCTTGACATATAATAACAACCTGTAGTGGTAAGGTATGGAGACCAAAACCCAACATCTGCAGAATGCCATGATGTTACCATCCATACAGCATGAAACTCTAAAGCGTTAGACATTTCCAATGAAAGAGTCCAACATCCTTGTAATTTAATTTAATTTTTTTTTAATTTAATTTTATATACTTTATTAATCCCTGAGGGGAAATTCAATTTTTCACTCTGTTGTCAATTACACACAGGTCCGAACACACACATGCACAAACTGGACCTATACATGCACAAAGTGGAGAGATGTCAGAGTGGGCTGCCCATGACAGGCGCTCTGAGTGGTTGGGGGGTTCAGTGCCTTGTTCAGGGGCACCTCTGCAGTGCCCAGGAGGTGAACTGGCACCTCTCCAGCTACCAGTCCACGCTCCATATTTTTGGTCCGGATGGGGACTTGAACAGGCGACCCTCCGGTTCCCAACCCAAGTCCCTATGGACTGAGCTACTGCTGCCCCAATGTCATAATGTCATAGTGACGTCCGCTGCCAGCTTGAGAGGGACTTTATGGTTTTCAAATATTTTTTTTGACTGAATGATTTAGGCCCAGAATCAGAAAAGATGAAAGCTTGTCACTATAGCATGACCAATGGCAGGTATCAAACAGAATGAATTAGAAATAAAGGCCTGTGTCTTATATAAGCCTACTTCAGAGAAAGGTCTGGCACTGACATAAAGAATGTCATTGCAGAGAGTTGTTGCATAGAGATGATACACCATCTCATCTAGTTGCATTGGTGTGAATCATCAGGGTTTTTTTAATGTTGCAGAACCATACCATACCAATTTTATTTATAAAGCACTTTAAAAACCCAGTGGACCAAAGTGCTGTACACAATTAAACATAAAGTGTACAATAGGCATAAGATAAAAATAAAATATACATAAAACAAAGCATAACAATAAAGATAAAAACATAAAGTGCAATAAAATAACACAATATAAAACCAATACAATTTTTTAAGGCACAGCACATAAGTAAAATTAGTCAATAAAATGAATAATAGCAAATTAAAAGACATCGATTTATGCGGGATCAAAGGCCATGGATAACAGGTGGGTTTTAAGGCGCTTTTTAAAAACATGCAGTGATGGAACTTGTCTGATGTCGAGAAGCAGGTCATTCCATAGTTTTGGTGCTACAACTGAGAAAGCGCGGCCCCCTCTGAGCCTGCTTGTCGTTTTGGGAACTTTCAGGAGCAGCTGGTCAGCTGACCTGAGAGGGCGTGTAGGAGTGTATGGCTCTAGCAGCTCAGAGAGGTATAGTGGGGCGAGGCCATTAAGAGACTTAAAAACAAATAAAAGAATTTTAAAATGGATCCTAAAATGTATGGGCAGCCAGTGTAATGCGGTTAAAATAGGGGAAAGGTGCTCACGATTGTTTGTGCCACTTAAAAGGCGTGTGGCGGCATTTTGCACCATCTGGAGGCGGGTGACGGCGGATGTGCTAACCCCTATATATAAAGCGTTGCAATAGTCTAGCCGACTAGTTACAAAGGCGTGGATTATCATTTCTAAGTGTTGCCTTGAGAGAAGAGGTTTTATTTTTGCTAGCTGCCTCAGTTGAAAGAAACTCTACTTCACAACTGCCCTAATCTGACTGTCTAGATTAAGCCCAGGATCCATTATTACCCCAAGGTTTTTGATGGTTGGTTTAGTATATTGTGCTAATGAACCCAATTCAACGGGTGGGGTCCTAACAGTACCATTAAAGACCATCACCTCTGTTTTGTTTTCATTAAAGTTTAAAAAGTTTAGTGCCATCCAGGCCTTTAAGTCATTAAGACACTTAAAAAGTGGTCCCAAGGAAGGTGCATTTTTCTTTTTAAGGGGCAAGTAAATCTGGCAGTCATCTGCATAGCAGTGGAAAGATATACCGTGTTTGCGTAAAATGGACCCCAGTGGGAGCAAATATAGTGAGAACAGAAGAGGGCCTAAGACCGAACCTTGTGGTACCCCACATGGGAGGGACGCACAAGAGGACGTGAAGTCACCAATGTTGACACTGAAGGTTTGGTCTGCTAAATAGGATTGAAACCACTCCAGTGCTGAACCCCTAATACCCACCCAGTGTTTTAGACGAGATATTAAAATTTTGTGGTCTAGAACGTCATAAAGCAAGTAGCTGCCTGTTTCATCTCGTCTCATCAGGAGACTGACTGATGATGTATCTTCATCACTTAGACAGTGATACAGACTTAAGTAAGTCAGTCAGATACAGACTTTCTGGTCCCTGCTTTGCTGCGGTTAAACCAAAAATGAAACTTAGACTATGTATTTGTAAGCATTTTCACCACTGGAACTGCTGGGCCTTAAGCTAAGAGCTGTAGAGGAACATCAGGCAGTGTTGAGAGATGGACTAATACGTTGTTGCCTTTGGTCTTTTCGTGAAATTTGTTGACAGTAACAGCCGAAATACACGGGGCATGGACACAGCGCGTTACGTAGGCAGGGCAGGGCAGGGGTTTTTACCTTTTACAGAGAGTCCATCTTTGCAGTGTGTGGCTGCTGCCAGCTTCACTGTGTATGTATGTATGTATGTATTGTGCATGACAATGCAGTTGGTTATGCAGGGTTTGGAAGCATATAGACTATATTAACTATACTGAATGAATGAACTGGATTGTTTCAACAACAGGATGCATCGATTTTTTTGATGTATTTTAATGTGAAATGTAAAAAAAACACAATGTTGCTCTGCTGCATCACATTGCCTCTGTTATAATGAGGTATTTGTTTCTACCATTTTTTTTACAGATTGTAGGCCACACTTCTTTATACAGTTCCATGTAGTTCCAAGGACCAGCAACATAAAAGTAACGTTGAGCAATGAGGTGCCCGTGGTCCCACCCATGTTCAGTGTAGCAGCTTCAGTTGATTTCAGTGGATGCGGTCTGCTGTGGGCATGCTGCTGTCACCATGTCCCATTTATTTTGGCCATTAGAAAAATATAGGATAACATCAGACTGATCCTTTACTCAGTGTGTGCCAAACAGCAGCTGGCAGTCTTCTCAGGGAGTAAACAGTGATATTCAGTTAATCTCTGGATGAAGATGTTAACTGGATCGTGAATTAAGATTATATTGACAAACTTGTATTATTGTTTGTTTCAGAACAAGATAGAAGGAACCATATGGAAAGAGATCGACGATCTCAAGGTGTTTAAAGTTCTGGATCTGGAGGAGTTCCAGAAGACCTTCTCAGCTTACCAGAAACCACAAGTATTACACATTGACAATATCCTCGCCATGCCCTCAGCAACACTTTCATTTTCTCTTTTGCCTTTTGTACTACATTCCTTAATTCGTTGTGTTATTGGCAGATCTATCCATCCATTTGTAGATGATTTAAGTGCCAAGTGCCCGATCTTACATTATATATTGTACTTCTTTATGTATTAACAGAAGGATGCTGAGGATGACCATACTGTGGTTAAGAAAGTCAAGGAGCTGTCAGTGATCGACGGTCGCCGAGCACAGAACTGTAACATTCTGCTCTCACGGTCAGTGTGTGTGTGATCATTAGGAACCAATGAAAAAGCCTCTGTAGGTTCTCAATAATAGAAGTTACACATAAGCTCTTTTTGTTGCTGTTAGCAGCCTGGATATGTTGTTCATGTCTACATGTGGGTTGTTTCCACACATCATGACAGGGAAACAGGAGTAACATTGATAAATATACCAATACTTATCAGAACATTGTGGTTTATTATATATTGAAGTGAAACATCATCATCATCATCATAAACTTGAGTGTCATGATATGGCCTTCACAAACCACTGGGAATGGCTGCACAAAACACCTTAGGTGAAGATTTTCCTTTAAATCTGAGTTAAGGGTTTTCTTTAAATAAAATTGGTTGCACAAAACATCCTTAAGATTTCCTTAAGTTTTTCTCCTTATCTTGGTCTTAATGGATTGCTTAAAGTTTGGTAAACTGTTGTACAGAGGACCTCAGCAACCAAGGTAAGGAAAAAAATGTAAGGTACTCTGATTGCATCTTAACAGCAACATGGCTGAGTTTATGCTGATAACTGAGGAAAATTAAGGCATCTCGAGAAGAGTGTTCCACGACTTGGAGAACCTGATGGACACCCTTGATGATAAGCAATTGATTTTGCACTTAAAATCTGACCAGAGGTCAATTTATGATTTTGAGTTGGATCACCCAACTTTCCAAAGCTGCGCTCTTCCAGCCCTGTTACAATTAATGATTGCTCTGCGGTTTTATGAAACGGAATCTTTCCAATTAGTTATTAGCGAAGTATTTCATGTACACAAGCCAACAGTGCACTGTGTCTGCTGGATACAGTGGTGAAGTTCCTGTCCAGATGTTGCAGTTTCCTCCCACATTCGTTGGTTCATGTGTGCGGTTATTTTCTAATCAAATTTACTTTTCAGTTTGTTCTTCCTGTTATTGAAATCCTCTAGAAGTATGATTTTTATTTCCCTCCTTCAACCAATTTGGATTTTGAGTATTCATCTCATCTGCCATTTTTTTCTATCAGGCCAACTTTGTGAGAGGATATTTAGGTGCAACAACGGGTAACCTAGGCTATCACAAGCACACGTTTCAACAAACACAATGGTCTCCATGGAAACAGTAGAATTTTACTGCTGTAAAATCTCTTTCAGTGCATTAAATGACTTAACGTCTTTCCTTGACTAAGGAAACCTGTTCAGAGATTCTCTGCAACACCCTTAAAAAATTTCCTCAGCTAAGGGAAAACTAAATCTAAGTGTCATACTTAAGGAGCAAACTTAGGGTGCTTTGTGCCATCCCTAGTATTTAGCCTACCTAAGTGTTGGCTGTTTAAGGGGAATTTCCTACCAACAAATTCCAACTTCATGACCTGCTTCAATGCACCATACATCTGTAGGGAATTTCCATCTGTGCTTTTGGCTGCACCAATTAGTGCTGTCAAAAATATCAATTTGTTGATACATTTTGATTCTGAATATTTAAAACTGTTTCAATACTCATTTTCTGCAGTATCAGTACATTGGTGTCAACTAAACTTTCTCATTTACTCTTATTAATGTTTATTAGTCATTCTGCTTTTATCTGCTACTAATCAATATGTATTGATAAATCTTTAACACTAGTATCAGTATAATGTTAAGTGGGGTGTATGGTTATACAGTAATGTATCCTCTTTTTGCACTTTATATTCGTCTCAGTCTTCAGACGTACAGAAAACAGGAGACAAACTGAAGATTCTGTTACAGCTTAAGTTAGAACACAGTGACTGTATTTTGGTGATTGAACCAGCTTTACAGTCAAACTAGAGTCTCAGAAGAATATTTGCTTGATGACAGGAGAACATCCTCCGTCCTCCTCTCTGATACAGCCACACCAACAAAAAAAAATGCTTGTTCATTTTCACCAAGGGAAATATATAGCATGGCCCATGTAATGTATTGCTTTAGGAATTCCTTTGAAAAAAAATTTAATCTAATAAATTGTCTTACAGACTGAAGCTGACCAATGAAGAGATCCGCCATGCCATCCTGACCATGGACGAACAGGAAGACTTACCTAAAGACATGCTGGAGCAGGTGCCAAACATACACACAAGCATACAAAGTAACACACCACACTCTGCAGACATAGGGATATGCTTCATGGTCATTACTATTTTTATATATATCAGCTGCCCAGAATTCTTCCAGTAAAAATCCAGTTAATTTTTCCCTAGACTAGATTTTTTAGTGATATAATACAGTACATGACACCAGATATTGTTATTATCATATATAATTGCATGTACTATGACAGAAAATCTTATTGGCTTCATTACTTTTGAGTTTTGGGATAAAATTTGATCAGTTTACCCACATTGTCACCTGTCTTTTGGTTGAAACATATTTATTCGGGGCTCATACATGATAAATAAATACATAGAGAACTTTTCAAATGAAATGCACCAATGACAGTTTGTATGTGTCTGCGTGTAGCTCCTGAAATTTGTTCCTGAGAAGAGTGACGTCGAGCTTTTAGAGGAACACAAGCATGAGCTGGACCGTATGGCCAAAGCAGACCGCTTCCTTTATGACATGAGCAGGTAGACACACACACACACACACACACACACACACTACTTCTGAACCAGCCCGGTATCATAGAAATATGTGAAATGGACATGAAGTTTTAACGAGTATCCATTACAGATAATGTATTTTTGACGAGTGTGAGTATCAACCGAGTAAAATGTGTCAATATCTGTTCTGGTGATGAAGGAAGGTCCTCATTTGGGTAGTTGTGTTCACTCTTTCACTCGTGATCAAAACTAATCTGAAGCTTAATCATGATATTATGTAGTGGTGATAGAATTACGCGCTGGCAACACGAAAACAATACCATTGCAAGGTCAATAGGGATCTTTTTTCTTTATTTTTAAGTATAAAGACTGAGAAAGTCTGAAGCGTGGTGGTGGACAGGTCAAACAAACATAAAGTGGCAAGCAAAAGTTTGGGCACCCCTGGCCAAAATTTTGTTTACTGTGAATGATAAAGTAAATAGAAGATGAACTGATCTCCAAAAGGAATGAAGTTAAAGATGAAACATGCTTTTCAACATTTTAACCAAAATTCAATATTCATTTTGTTTTGTACAATTTTAGAGTGAAAAAGGGAAAGGGGCACCATGCAACAGTTTGGGCACCCCATGACGTCTGAGCTGTCAGCCAACTTGTACCAGGGTCTCAGACCTTAATTACCTTGTTAGGGCTATGGCTTGTTCACAATCATTGTTAGGAAAGGCCAGGTGATGCAAATTTCAAAGCTTTATAAATACTCTGACTCCTGAAACCTTGTCCCAACAATCACCATGGGCTCCTCTAAACAGCTGCCTAGCACTCTGAAAACATAAATAACTGATGCCCACAAAGCAGGAGAAGACTATAAGAAGATAGCAAAGTGTTTTCAGGTAGCTGTTTCCTCAGTTCATAATGTAATTAAGAAATGGCAGTTAACAGGAACTGTGGAGGTCAAGTTGAGGTCTGGAAGACCAAGAAAACTTTCAGAGAGAGCTGCTTGTAGGATTGTTAGAAAGGCAAATGAAACCCCTGTTTGACTGCAAAAGACCTGCAGGAAGATTTATCGGACTCTGGAGGATTGGTGCACTGTTGTACTGTGCAGTGACACCTGTCAAATATGACCGTCATGGAAGAGTCATCACAAGAAAACCTTTCCTGTGTCCTCACCACAAAATTCAGTGTCAGAAGTTTGCAAAGGAACATCTAAAGAAGCCTAATGCTTTGTGGAAACAAGCCCTGTGGACTGATGAAGTTAAAATAGATTTTTTTTGGATGTAATAATCAAAGGTATGTTTGGAAAAAAAAGGGGTGCATAAATTCATGAAAAGAACACCTGTCCAACTATTAAACACTGAAATGGATGGATCATGCTTTGGGCTTGTGTTGCAGCCAGTGGCACAGGGAATATTTCAAAGGTAGAGGGGAGAATGTATTCAGGCCCTTTTACTTTTTTGTTGTTTTGAAACTGTTAAAGATTGAAAGCTTAAGACCAAAGTTTGGTCAGGAAATCACTTGTGAGATCTTCTGGTGTCTCAATTTGAAAATTTGGCCAGGAAAACTACTTGCTCATCTATAGCAGCAAGGTTGAGGCAGTTGAGATATCTTTATGTGGTTCCCTCATCTGTCTTAACTTCTCTTGGGACTCAGTATCTTTACCCTTGTCCCACTCAGACTTCAGGTCGTCTGAGCTAGCTCCATCTTCATGTTACTGTGACAGTGAGGTAATATACACATCACTATGTCTGTATTTATTAATTGTAACAGTGACACAATATCGCCATTATGAGGCCAAACAAGAAAATACAACAATACCAGCTATCACTTGCTCTTAGGAGAACTGGATACAGCATTCAATGTGGGGCCCTGTTCATTCCAATGAGAGTTGCTCAGTGACATGGAGTCAAAATGAAGTCAAAATGATTCAGCTGCCTTGTTTTAAATTACCTGGATGAACAACACTGATTCCAGACCATAAAGCAAGCGTACTCAAGACGTATGGCAGCCAAGCTCTGCCGAGTGTGACAGAGCAGGTAACTTCCAGTTCAGTGCTCTGCTAACTTGAATGGGGATAAATGATTTAATCTTGCAGCTCTTCTAGACTTTCCAAATTTTTGCGGATGGAATGGGTCAGGTTCTGATTGTAAAATGAATGATTTCGCAGGGGGTTGTGATGCTCAAATAATATATCCACTGATTTAAAGTTGTCTCTCGCCACGTAGGTCTATGGGGAAAATATTTTTGGGCTCCAGGGCATCGCATGACAGACCCCAGAAAATGAAGTATCACTGTTTGGCCACTATGAAAACTGGCTTCTAAGCCGGTCACACTTCCTTGCGACTCTGCGGCATCCAGCACACAGTGTATAAGAAATGGAACACTCTTACAAAGCACAAGTCTCGAGCGACCCTATAAACCTTTTTGAAAAAACATTACAAAAATAATGCTTTTTATCATTGTTGACATTTTGACACCATAATGTTGCTAAAGACAAATAGTTTGAGGAATACCAGGGAGTTGATGTGTAATTGGTTTGTTAGTTTAATCACTTAGGGATTTTCATCAGATTTTGTACAAAATATTGCTGCATGTCTTTCTGCTGGTACATTTGCCAGTTACTCTTTATAGATATTTAGGATATGAGTCCACTCATGGTTTTGCTGTCTCATTTCTGTCCTCCACCAGCATCAGTCACTACCAACAGAGACTCCAGTCTCTCTACTTCAAGAAGAAGTTTGCAGAAAGAGTGGCTGAGGTCAAACCTAAAATCAAAGGTACTCTTTTCTATCCCAAAGGATCATTAGTTCACATTGAAATTGATGAAGTGAGGGTCTGTGAGGAGGGTTACATTTGATCATCAAGGTATATATTAGTAATATGGATGAATGCATTTCTTTCTTAAAGTTTCTTTTAATTCTGTTTTGTATCTTGTGCTGAGGATATTAGATGGGACAGTATTGGTTGGAGTGCTGTCTATGAACATATGTGACATGCCCTCCTCATGTCTGTGGTTTCAGCTCTGAGTCTTGCGTCCAAGGAGGTGGTACAGAGCGGGTCCCTGTGTCAGCTCCTGGAGGTGGTTCTGGCCTTTGGAAACTACATGAATAAAGGACAACGAGGAAATGCCTGGGGATTCAAAGTGTCCAGTCTCAACAAGATAGCTGACACCAAGTCAAGCATTGACAAGTACAGTTCACAACAAGGCTTTGCACATCAAAGGTCTTTTTCACAGAGGAGATTTTGACATGTGGCAGTAGTAAAAGCAGATGTAATAGTACAGGGATCTGGTATTGTTCATGTGGGCTCACTGTCACACTGTCATGGTTTACTGGGACACTAGAATAGAACAGTTATTGATCGTACTAATAACACTGTTGAAGGAACAGTTCACAGATCACATTATATTGGAGAGAAGGCAAACATCTTCACGGCTGATATCTCCAGCCCTCGGCAACTCACAACAAAACAATCTAGGCTCATAAATAGCGCAAAACAGGGGAAACATGTATATTTAATTTAGCAGTAAACTGTCTCTTTAATGTTGTTAGTAACACCTGTTTTTTCCTACTATGACAAGAGAAATTTCTGCTGTGAAAAAGGTCTGTTTAAATGTTTAGCTATTTCCTCTAAAAGACACAGAGAATTCATCAGTAATTGATTGTTAAATGTATGTGGTATGTGTTTGTAGAAATGTCACTCTGCTCCACTACATGATCACTGTACTGGAAAAGAAGTACCCAAAGGTGGCAAATTTCGGTGAAGAGCTACAAAATGTGCCAGAAGCTGCCAAAGTCAAGTAAGAACAAACACACACATTGTTGAAGTAATACATGCAGAATCAAGTCTTAGTTTTAAAGTCTTTAAAGTTTGTCACACACAGAAAAAATATTATCAAACATCCAGCCAGTATGAATGGTTAAAAATGGCTAAGTATATAGTTGTACAACGCATTCTTATGTGGTCAGATGAATGTGCCTCAGTGTCCAGAGCTCCCCATTCTTCTGCCGGCAGGGGTCCTCCAAATAACATATGAGCAGGGAGCTCCGTGCTAGCAGCATGGAGGGTGGTTGGCATATACTGATTACTTTACAATGACATACAGCTGGTTGAAAATAGCCGAAGTCCAAAGTCAAGTATTGGCCAGAACAGTGTTTGATGCAGAACATTATGATGTCACAGTGAAGATGACCTTTGACCTTTTGGATATAAAATGTCATCACTTTATTATTTTATCCTATAAGCCATATGTATGAAGTTTCATTATAATTAGCATGTGAATTCTTGAATTATGACCAAAAACATATTTTGTGAGGTCACAGTGACCTTGACCTTTGACCACCGAAATCCAATCAGTTCATAGGGGTTTTCGTGCCAAATTTGAAGAAATGCCCTCAAGGTATTCTTAAGATATTATGTTCACAAGAACGAGACAGATGATGTCACAAAGACTTGAACTTTGCCTTATGACCACCAAAATCAAATCAATTCAGCTAATCGCTAAATCCAAGTAGACATTTGTGCCAAATTTAAAGAAATTCCTTCAAGCTGTTCTTGAGATATTGTGTTCATGAGAATGAGATGGATGCAAGGTTGTGGCGACCTTGGCCTTTGACTCTTGACAACCAAAATCTAATCAATTCATCCTTGAGTCCAAGTAAATATTTGTGCCAAATTTGAATAAATTCCCTCAAGGCTTTCTTGAGATATTGCGTTCATGAGAATGAGACAGACAAGAACACAGTGACCTTGACCTTTGACCTATGACCACAAAAAAACACTTATTCAAACTTATTCATTTTATTTAGTTCATCCTTGAGTCCAAGTGGACATTTGTGCCATATTTGAAGAAATTCCCTTCAAGCATGGACATATGGACGGATGGACAGACGGACATAATGAAAACATAATGCCTCCACGGCTATCACCAGTGTGGAGGCATAAACAAAAGAAAAAAGTTTAAAAATGCTATATTGTGTAATTCAGCTGTTAACCTCTTTCACCATCTCTCCAGTATGACAGAGTTGGAGAAGGACATTGGCAGCCTGAGATCTGGCCTTAAAAGTGTTGAGGCGGTGAGTAAACTCAGTCGTGTGCTTGAAAAGCCAGTAATTGTCCAAGTGGCCACTGTTTAATCACCTAAAGACATTTTAATCTATTGTTAGGTAAAGCAAAAGATACATGTATAGATAATATTCCAATGTCTAAAATCAGTGTTTGTATATGAGTCTAACTGCATGTCTCTCTGTCTGATATGTCTATCTCCAGGAACTGAAGTACCAAAAGGACCAAACCTCTAAGAGTCCTGCAGATAAGTTTGTCCCTGTGGTCAGTCAGTTCATCACTGTGGCCTCCTTCAGCTTCTCTGAGGTCGAGGAATCACTCAGTGAGGCCAAAGACGTGGTAAGTAGGCAACAGATCTTTCACTCATGTTCAGTCTGTCCCATTTTCTGTCTTAAAAACTTGTAGCATCAGCATAAATACATCATGTAATACAGTACAACATAAGGCTAGTGGTTTATGTACTTTATGGACTCTTTATGTTAAGCTAGGCTAACTATGACTCTAGTTCTGTGCATAATGCGCTATAAGCCCATTTCTCCAATTGTTGCACTATTCCATTACAATGTGTTAACAGGATGTCCATTAATATTCCTTTGCCTTCACATTTCGTCAGCATGAATTTCCCTCCAGTAGACCAGACTAGCACTGGGTTGCATCAGCTGTGTTTCAATTCAGACTTAGCCTAGTTTGAACTTAATTTCAAACTTAGGTTGGAGTTTGTGGACTTTCTTTCAAATGAAGGTATTTAGTAATATGTGATATATTGCATTTTGAAAGTAACTTGTCCAACACTGCATAGAAACATCCTCTGTGCCATTGGTGAGCAAATATAAACAGTAGGGTTAGAAAACCTTCTAATTAACACCTACTAATTGATATCAGTTTACCCTTGTAGGCTATCACTATATGTTTGTTATAACGTTACAATTTCATCTGACCAATATAAGGGACTGTTATACTGTATCACCTATGTTGTAGTTGATGGTTTCACTGTTGTCACCACTGTCATTTTGCACGAGCTGTAGGTCATGGTTGTATAGTTATTGTCTAATCATACAATGCTTTGTCCTAGTTTCGGGACCTATTTGTTGTTTGGTGATTAATATAAGCTAACTTCAGTTGTTAGACAGAATAGTGCTTTTCACTAATTGGCCACAGGAAGTGAAAACCTAATTCATTATTTTGGTTAGTGTGGATTTTAGATCACATCTCTGTGATGCAACCCAACATTGACACAGCTTTATGATCAAACTAACTTGTTTCCTCATATTGTTGTCTGTGGGCTTTGTAGCCTAACTGAAAGTGTAACGTCAGAATCTTCCAACTTGGACCCTATTTTTACATTTTTGTGTCTAACTAATGGAGACGTATTCTTTACATTGGTCCAGTATGGAGAGAGACCGCTGCAGCGAGCAGCAAGGAAACAGTCTGCAATGTAATCCCTGCATGCAATAAAGCACCGCCAATTTATGTTCACTGAGGCCCTGTTTGGACGACAACAGTTTCTCTAAAAACAGAAAAGTCTGTCCTTTGTGTTTTAGAAAACTTCCACGTTTATATGACGACATTGTTGAAACGATCTCCATTCACACGGAGATGCAAAATCGAGTAAGGCAAAGCTGCAGTACCGGAGGCTGCACTTTCAGGACTGCAGTTTTAGGACCTTTAATTTTCTGAGTGGTTTATTTTAATTTTTTTGCAATACCCATGTACTATTTCTTATTAAATAGTTATAATCAGTGTTGTGCAGTAACGCGTAATTTGATTGATGAAGCCCAGGCAACTATACATTACCATTGCCAGTCCTCTCCGCTCCTCCGCTCTCCTCCTCACCCACACCTAAACACCCGTTCTGGGATACACAGTGTTGGCCCGCTTTGCCTGACCTCCGCGGTCCTCTCCGCTCCTCTCACCCACACTTGAGCACCCGTTCTGGGACACACATTGTCGGCCCGCCCGGCCTGACCTCCACGGTCGTCTCCGCTCCTCTCACCCACACTTGAGCATCCGTCTAGGGAGGGTCAGGCTGGGCAGGCCGACACTGTGTATCCCAGAACGGGTGCTCAAATGTGGGTGAGAAGAGCGGAGAGGACTGCGACGAGGTGGAGTTGGTACAGTAGATCTACACTTTGCTGGAGAAGCGTTGATAAGATCAACAGGGTGAGCAGCACAAACAGAGCTCGGCATTGTTGTTGTAATGGTCGACTTTGCCTAGTGACTGGAACCGTAATGTGTGTGTGCGAAAAGTCTCAGTTTTCAGAGGCACTGCATATTGCAAGTTTACATGACAACGGAGACGGTGCCGTTCCCAAAAAATTGCACTCTGGAACCCGTTTTCAAAATGTTGCATTTTCAGGCACCTAAAACGCCGCTGTCGTGTAAACGATCAGCCAAAGCGCAACTAAAGTTTACCGTTTTCAGCTGAAATTGCTGTATTATAAACGGGACCTAAAAGTGCTTGTTTTTGTCACTGACAGGCTCATATTGTTATTCTAAGTATCTGATAAGATAATGAAGAGGATCCCTTGAGAGGTTGACCTTTTTGTAAAAGAGTAAGATCCTGTTTGTTTGAGCAGAAACAGATTCAAAATCACTACTGTCAAACTCACCAGGCTCTGTTTAAATTAATAGTAATTCTAGCGTGTAAAGAGCCAGTGCATTTTCACATCTAACTGGATGAATTAATGGTTTCTTTCAACCAAACCAGAGTTAGAAATTGTTGGAAAAGTGGGAGGATGATTTAAGACAGCTTTGGTGATTTCTAATTTAGCTTCTGTTGACTTTGAATGAAGTATGTGTTTTCATGTTAAATTACTGTTTATTTAAATGGAGTCTGGTTGGTTTGACGATGGTGATTTTGGGGCTGTTTCTGGTTAAACAAAAAGGATCTCTCTTTAACAAAGAGGTTTATCGCTGTAGGAATCCTTTCTGTAATGTTGCAGAACACTTAGAATAATAATCTGAGCCTGTCAGTGACAAAAAAGCATTTTTAGTGGACATACAGTACATTAATGGTGCTCAGTAACACACCACTGCTGGCTGCGGCTCTCTCACTCAATACAGGACAAATTATTAAAAAAAAAAAAAAACGTGTCTGCATTAGTCACTTAGACACAAAAACATGTAAAAAAAAATGGTCTAGGTTGCAGCTGCTGCTGTGAAACAGGATGCATCAGTCTCTCAACACTGGACCAATTTCAAAAATTGTTGTCTCCAGCCTCAGGCAAATAGACAACACTGACACTATTTCAACCATCCTATCTCTTTTTGAAGTTGGTAAAGGCACTGAGACATTTTGGAGAAGATCCGTCCAAGCTGCAGCCGGATACGTTTTTTGGGATCTTCGACACTTTCCTCACAGCTTTCACAGAGGCCAGACAGGAGAACGAGAACATCGCCAGACGCAAGGAGGAAGAGGAGAGACGGGCACTCATGGAGGCACAGGTTAGAGGGCATTATTAACTCACATATGAGAGAGATATACTGTATTTTAAAAGGACACATAATGTATTTGAATTATTCTTTTAGCTGTTAGATAAAATGTGTTAAGAAGTGTCTGATGATTGCCTCATTTATGGATCAATGTACAGTATCATCCCTCCTCTACTGTCATGATCTTTCTTTTCTTCTACAGCTGAAGAGAGACAGGGAGGAGAAGGCAAGGAAATCCAAAGCAAATGAAGAAGAGGGTGGTGAGTTTGATGACCTGGTGTCTGCTCTGCGCTCTGGAGAGGTGTTTGATAAGGATCTGTCCAAGATGAACCGGAGAAAACAGAGAAGACATGACCAGTTCGACAGCAGCCGGGAGAGGCCAGTAACAAAACTAAACGAGTAACTGTTAAAGCCCTGCTTGAAACACCTGAATACCTCGGTAACACTGTGGAAGGCATGGACTTATTATTTTCATTTAAATCCACATTTGTATTCATGGGTCATGGTTGTATATAGGGTACATATAGATACATATATGTATATACAGTATGTGGAAACAGTGCAACCATTTTTGTACTTTGTTTAAGCCATGCTTAGTTTAACTACCTGTAAATGTTTATAGGAGGCTACTGCCAGCTGTCAGTTAGCTAGCATCCTACCAGCACCTCTAAAACTCAGTAGTCAACACGTTATATCCCACTTGGATAATCTGTACAAAAAAAAAAAACAAAATCTAAAAAATTGGTTTTATAGGGTTTATGTGCAAGACTATAACTTGATGGAATGCAGTGGCTTCCTGGAGTCTCTGGTTGGTTGCGTGGCAATGTCACGGTAATGACAAGACAACTATTAAAGAAGGAGGGGTTATTACATCATGGCGACAGCATTTGAATTTTTCATTCATAGTATACACTCCTTACAGTTACATTAATTTTGTAATTTAATTACATGTAACTAGTTACATGTAAGTAGTAACTCGCAAATACTGTCTCTAACATTACATCATGATACATGACCAAATGGGGCAGGTCAGTTATCACTCGGTACGTTTACATGACATCAGACAAAAATCTATTTATTGTGTTAGTCCGACTAAAACCGGACTTTTAAAATACATATACACATTTTAGTACGACTGAAATCGTACTAAATTGAATCTCTCAAAGTCGGACTAACACACAGAGATAATGTGACTGGGAGTTGAATTACTCCTGCATGTATACAGTTAGTCGGTCCCAAACTGGCCTAGGTGCTCTGCGCATGCTCCACAGTTGCCACTCTGGGCTTTGACCTGGAGGTCGGTTAGCAGTAAATGCTCACTAGAAGCAGAACACAGTAACAACATGTTGAGATCTATCCAGAGCCGTGCACATTAGGATGGATGAAATACAGCTAAAGAGCTGTAAAGTTGTCCACCAGGTTACCAGTTTGCTGCTAGCTAGCCATAGCTAACTAGTTTGATTGTTTGGTCTATGACGTAATAGGTCGACTGGAGAAAGGTCCAGTACTAACAAGCTGAAAGGGGACATATCACCACCTGTCATAGCAGAGTCTGACGTACTTCAGTCAATAAATTGATTGCCCTCCTGCACTTGTATACTGGGATAAGGACAGTAGTCCAGTTAAATGGCCTAATCAAGCTGTAACCATAGCTCCACTTAACTGCGCATGTAAACGTGCTGACTGTTTGCACATTATAACCAGAACAATTCATCAGTGGCTCTGATTAAAACTGGCTGCACTCAGTGATATGGCCTGTCAGAGTTAGGTAAATATCCTTAAGCCAAACTAAACCTTGCTGCAATGCTATAATGCCCTGCAGTTTGCCTCCGTGATAGACACTCATACTGATCATTTAGCCTGTATTATTAGCTGACAACAAATAAATTAGAAAGGCTTCAATATTTGCTGTCATTCACTAACACTGCAGCTCCCAAACTGACAGAAACAAAGTATAAGAATTTTTTCTTACTAACGTTAAAGGTTTTATCTCTAAATGTAATATCACAACAGAGATATTGCTATGTAATGTTAGCTAAACAAAGTGCAAAGAACTGACAAGACTACATTTTGGCCAGTAGCGCCATCTCCTGACAATAACTGATTATCATTGACAGTCTGAAGGTGGGTTAGGTATTGAAAAGAAAACACAATGTACATGTACAATATATACCTGCTGTTAGAAGAAAAGGAGAGTGGCCCAAATGTATGTTCCCATGTTACAGAGTGATGTAATGACCCTTCCTTCTTTTATAGTTTCCTTACAAGACTCCAGGAAATTGAAAACAGTTACTGTGTCCATCAAATTGTGTTTTGCTAAGAAACAGTACAAGCACAGAACTATACCTAAGATCACAAACTGTCAATTGAGAACAATGCAAATGAAAGCTGTAGAGGTTTTGGGAGGCGTAATGTGACAGTTTTCAGAGCCAGGCTAGCTTTTCTCCCCTGCTTTCAGTCTTCATGCTAAGCTAGGCTAACCACATCCTGTGAATATAAAATATAAATATAGTTAACAAGACAAAGGGACCACGGAGTTTCCCTTTAGTTCCCCCCATTTTATAAATGTTATGTAAAACAATTACTTAATTTTAGGCTGTGTGTGTGTGTGTGTGTGTGTGTGTGTGTGTGTGTGTGTGTGTGTGATACGTGTGGCTGCAACTAAGCATCATGTTTTTGAGTGTCAAGCATGGACAATGAATGGTTGTCTTACAGAATGTATTGCTTTATCATGTGTTCAAAATGTATCTGTCTAAGATTTTTTACATAATATAATATATAACTGATGAGTGACGCTGATTCATAACATGGGATAGATTGGATGTGGATGAAATGCGTTATTGTTTTATTTGCAATATATTTCTTGAGCTGGTTGAACCTTTAATGTGTGGTGTCATTGGTTACAGACAACAGCAGACACTGGGACTGTCTACGGACACAATTTGTAACTGTCATTTATGTAACATGATGAATGTATCTAAATGTCTGATCTGGAGCAGAAAACAGTTCATGTTTGTGCTGTTACTGTACAATAATTGCACAATAATAATTTCCAAAACAGTCTCAGTCTGCAGACTGATTTTGAGTATTTCTATGTGCTTTTAACAGGAAGCTTTTGTAAGAGAGAGAGAGACACTGTATGTGCTCTCAGATAGAATATGTAATAAATTATAGTGTTATAATATCCCCTGTATATTTGCCCAAGTTTGCACACCTCTAGTTCATTCGTGAACTCCTTTACAAATGTAAACAAATCTGAAAGTTCATCATCTCAAACAGTTACTGATGATTGATGTACAATGATGAAAAATGGAGGATTTATTAACTGTCGATATTAAAGTTCTTACAGTTTCATCTCTGTAAAATGTTTGTTGCTGGCTGTCACACTCTACTCCAGCCATTCTAAGCATTTAATCTTTGATGACATTTTTTAAACGGCAAATTTTGTATTTGGTGTGGATTGGATTCCCTATAAACAGATGATTAGAATTGTTCTTCTCTAACCAAGGATCAGTATTATCACTTGATACGGGTAAATAGTTAAGTGTGATATGGGTGAAATGATGAAGTCACAGGAGTATTATTTATAAGAAGTCCCATAACAAACAAAGCTTGTTCCCTGGCAGCTGTAGCTTGTCCATGTGTCTTACTCACTTATGGGCTGGAGTGGGTTTGGTGAAAAAGCTGAGGAATGAGTGTGTTTATTCAGCTGCAGACAGGGCACTCAATGAAATATAAAAAGGGGTATCATATTTGTGTTACTGCTTATTTTAAGAATGAGTGTAATGTTCTGCATTTGAACAGAAGGCACCTGGATCAGTTTTGAGCACTACTATCGCTGGAGTAGGAAGAATACTGGAAAAGGCGTGCTGTAATGTAGTCTGTAGTGGCAGGGAGGGAGCAAGACCAAGGCTCTAGCTAATTTGAAGCTGCAGCTGAAGGCTTTTGCTCTGGTTAGCAGGAGGCTAAACTATTAGCAACATTTTCTCTCCACCTCAGAAATGCTTTGCTGATATCGACATGATTTATTTTGTTCATTGTCGGGCTCTCTTTAAGACTCTCTTTTTGATCAGTTCATCTTCCTTTATTGGGTTGCTTTGCAGTGTAGGCAATTGTTGCCAATGCTGGAATAACAACTTCCTCTGCAGGATTCTTCACCACTGAATCAGGCTTTCACCATCTGAAGGGACAAGCAAGTGCATCTTCATGGACAAAGTCTCCCATCACAGATTTTCTTAATCCTGTAAACAGAGCCAAGAGGAGGATCAGTTTTCTCTCACACCACTTGAATTACAATATGTTCAAAGTTTTGCCCAGTAACGCCGAAATAAAACTGCCTACCCCAGCTGTAGGACTGCCCGTATCCATCTGTCTGTGTAGAGAATGTGGCCTTTGGAGTTGAATGGCCTCTTTGGTTGAAACTGACACTTAACTCATATGTTCCATTATCTGGGAGCCATTTACATCATAACATGACATTTTTATTCCAAGACCTCAGAGGACTGTGATGCTTCTTACTGAGGGAAGAATGATTCCATACAGGCACAAATCTGTCCAGAATGTGTTCTGTGGTGAGAACGAGTTTCTAAACCATGTGGGATATTTGGATTCTTTAATTTAATGTATATAAAACATATAATGCTTGTTCTATCTGTGCCGCTGGCAACAATTAATGCCACCTATGTCAAGCTCCCTAAATGTTACTGAAATTTCTTCAGTTAATAAAAGTGGGAATAATGATAAATCTACTGATGTTTTTTTCCTGTCATTTGGTGAATAACAGTGGTGAGCTGACACAGCCTTGGGGAGCGCCAGTACTGGTTGTCAACATTCTGCCAGTCTAATGTTTGGTATATTTAGTAGGCTATGGAGATGGATTTCTCTCAATATTATTCAACAGTCAATGTGTAAATGTGTAATCTGTATAGTATCAAACAATTTCCACAATTACAAAAAATATATTTGCAAACTCACAAAAACATTTTGCAAATATAAAACTGATCTGCAAATACACAGTTCCCACAAGTAGATTTAAAAAACCCATCTGTGAATGCTTTCATTAATATTATAATAAATGGTAATAATAAAATAAATGAAAAGCATTTGTGAATATCTTCCTAACATAAAAAGACCAAGGGTGTGTTTTGAATCACATGCTTTACTTTTAGCATGTACTGCAGCTGCCCTTAAAAAGTATGTACTGTTGCATGCAGTATGCATACAATGGACATACCACTGTCTCATAACATCACACCCTGACCCTCTCCCTCATATATTTGTTACCTTGGAGATAAAGCAAAACTGTTCACTGAAACAAGAGAAGGAGAGCAAACTGGAGAGCTCTGCTGTTATTTTGTAATATAACTGCATACACTGTAGATTCTCAAATACTATCATAACTAAACACTGAAATTACATGTGCACTTCTTTGTCATTGTTATTTTAATAGTAATTTTTATGATTATTTTGTTCACTTAAACTGTTAATATTCCTAATATTACTATTTGACTGGTCATCACTTACTTAAATGCACTGTCATCCGTCTGTCAACCAACTGTCAAGCTGTCACTTGTTTGCAGGTGTGACATACTGTGCATTCCAGTACCCATACTATGTAGTATGGTAGTAGAAAAAGATTTAGTATGTCCCAAAACATAGTATGTCAAATGCAGTATGCCAAAAATATGAAGATGTTCCACTACATTTGGTCCAATTTTGCAGTGTGCAAGCCAGCAAGCTTTTCTTGCAATCCTGTTGTTTGCTGCAGCTCAACAGTCTAAGTACTATATGTTTATTGGCAAAATGTAAATAAACAAAATAAACAACCTAGCTAGGTAAAACATAAGATAAAAGTATGTGCTAATTTGCTGTCAGTAACATGTTGTATGTGTGTTATGATAATCATACAAATCAATGCTTAATTTAAAAAAAGGATTAACTTGTTAACTTAAGCTAAATTAACTCATTCAGGAAAAATAAACAATAAAATAGTATATGTAATTCTAAAATAATAATAAAATATACAAATTAACTTTCTAATTGAACTAGAGATGCACTGATTTTGAATTTCTGGGCTGATACTGATAGCGATCTTAAAAATAACCAATAATCACCAATAGCCGACACTGATGTTTTCCTATCGGTGTTTCTTCTGTTTTTTTTTTGTTATTTATTCTTCTTTTGTTCCAGGGGAACACAGAAATCTACACTATAAAAAAAACAACACATGAACAGTTTTAAAGTCATTCAGTCCTTAATTACACTACCTGTGAATGAGCCCAAAGTCAATAATTTATGAAACAACGTTAGACATAACCGTCTTTCACATTAAAAACATATTTAAAAAATAAGCAAATATATGATACATCATAATTCCCTCCCTAATATCTATTTTACATTGCTGTGAAAACGTCAACAAATTTGTCTTTCAAACAGCTGTATTTATTCAAATCTCTCACCAAAAGCTACATTTTACAACATTACTATGAACACATCACGAGAACGTTATAATTTACCTTCGCCCAGTACTCATTTTTACTGAAGAGAGCTTGAACGCTGCGCAATGAAAATCAATGCAACTTCAGTCAGCTGTTGGCTGAGGCCACCGGCTGCTTAGAGGAAACAGTTATAGCTCTCTTCCTGCTGTATTCTTTATTTTTATTTCTTTGTTTGTTGTTTTTTTCACGTTCTGTATATCCGCACCCACTCCTCTCAGTGGTGTAGTGGTAGTTGAGTGGGTACCAGAGAGCTTCTGTCGTTTTGCCATGGTAACGATACAGCGTGTTTCAGGGTTCACGTCACGTCTGATAACTCGCCCATGCCCCCTGGAGAGCAGGTAGTGTAACAAACTTGGGGGTGGGGGGGGGGGTAGGCTTAGCAGGCTTTGCTATGTAATTATGTTGTTGTGGCTTTATGTAACAATAGTAATAATAGTAGTTATGGTATTAGTAAAAAATTGAAAAGATAAGCATTTCATTTTTTTTCTTCTTTCTTCTTCCCTTTCGCCCCCCATGGATGACGACACCCTTAGCGTTCGCCTGAACTGCCTATGACAAGGCCAGCACTGTGTAAGAAGCGAGTGTGTGTGTGTGTGTGTGTGTGTGTGTGTGTGTGTGTGTGTGTGTATGTGTGTGTGTGTGTGTGTGTTAGCCATGGAAATATTGTTTGTCGCCCCTTGTGGAGGCTCTCGTGCGCGCAGAAACAAAATAAGGCTGCATTCAAGACCCAGCCTCAGCAGAGCACTTTGATCATAAATCCGTCAATCTCATTATAAAATTAAGACTTGATACACTTGGTTAACGGGTTTCAGATGCGGTCTGTTCGGTCGTCTTTAAATAGCCCGTCACAGTTTAACGTGTCAGAAATGCCCCAATTTTCTGTTGTTTTCTTCCGCTCTGTGCGGTGGGACGTTCACTAGCGCCCGGCCCACATATATTTTATTAGGCAACAGCGCTGCGCGAGCTGCTGGTGTCCACTTCCTGAATTCACAGCAACAGGAGCCAACAAACATCGCAACGTATCACTTTGTCCCGATAACCACAGTAGAAGACTCGGGTTTGAACTCCAGCACCGTCGGCCTGCGTGGACGAGTGTTGCCGCTGTGCCGTGATGGTGGAGACTCCGGCTGTGTGTCTGTTTGAGGACATCCAGTATGAGGACATCCAAGTTGAAGCGGTAAACTTACTGACCAACAACAGCTCAGCAGAACAGAGGACATTAACGTTAGCTCTGCATTACCGAGGGAGAAATGTTCCGTACTAGGAGATGAAATACAAGCACGTATTGTTTCTGTTCATGAGCAGGGCTGAGGACAGACACAGGCTAGTCTGCTGCCATTACTGTAACGTTACTGCTTACTTTAGTGTTAAATCCAGCGAGAGATTAATACACTGAGGTCTGAGCAAACCATCAAACATGACAGCATCTGCTGCTGACAAAACCCTGAACAACCAGAGCAAGGCCTCAGACTGTAAAAGGGAAGAGTTAGTAGTAAAATGTGAGCTGGTAAAACTCAACTGGAGTTACTTGTAAAAGTGCAGGAGTGGTAAAAATACAGTTAATGCTTTTAAGACACAGAAAGTGAGAGCATGTAAAAGCCTCCTCCTGATGTTGAGGGGGATATGTGCTGTCTACCATGGCCACATTAACCTGCTTGTGGGGTCCAGGGTAAAAAAATAGCCATGGGACCCCTGTTAACCCCCCTGCTCCTCCTCATCCTTCTGTCCTGAGCTGGAGTATTATAACTGATACGATTAATTGATTAATTGCCAACTATTGCATTAATTACCAACTAATTTGCTAATCAGTTAAGCAACATGAGTAATATACAGTGGCATGCAAAACTCTGGGCACCCCTCATCAAATTTTCTCTTACTGTGAATAGCTAAGTAAAAGATGAACTGATCTTCAAAAGGCATTACGTTATAAATGGAACATGCTATTCGACATTTTATGCAAGATTAGTGTATTATTTTTGTTTTGTACAATTTTAGAGTGAAAAAGGAGAGGAGCCCCATGCAAAAGTTGGGGCACCCCAAGACATTTGAGCTCTTAGACAACTTTTACCAGAGTCTCAGACCATAATTAGCTTGATAGGGCTATGGCTTGTTCACAGTCAATATAAGGAAAGGCCAGGTGATGCAAACGTCAAAGCTTTATAAATACTCTGACTCCTGAAACCTTGTCCCAACAATCAGCACCCATGGGCTCCTCTGAACAGCTGCCTAGCACTCTGAAAACTAAAATAACTGATGCCCACAAAGCAGGAGAAGACTATAAGAAGATAGCAAAGTGTTTTCAGGTAGCTGTCTCCTCAGTTCATAATGTAATTAAGAAATGGCAGTTAACAGGAACTATGGAGGTCAAGTTGAGGTCTGGAAGACCAAGAAAACTTTCAGACTGCAAAAGACCTGCAGGAAGCTTCCTCAGACTCTGGAGTGGTGGTGCACTGTTGTACTGTGCAGCGACACCTGTACAAATATGACCGTCATGGAAGAGTCATCAGAAGAAAACATCTCCTGTGTCCTCACCACAAAATTCAATGTCAGACATTTGCAAAGGAACATCTAAAGAACCCTGATGCTTTGTGGAAACAAGTCCTTTGGACTGATGAAGTTAAAATAGAACTTTTTGGATGCAATAAGCAAAGGTATGTTTGGAGAAAAAGGTTGCAGAATTTCATGAAAAGAACACTTGTCCAACTGTTAAACAAAGGGGTGGATGGATCATGCTTTGGGCTTGTGTTGCAGCCAGTGGCACAGGGAACATTTCACAGGTAGAGGGAAGAATGTATTCAATTAAAGTCTGGCACATTCTGGAAGCAGACATCACACCATCTGTAAAAAAGCTGAAGATGAAGAGAGGATGGTTTCTACAACAGGACAGTGATCCTAAACACACCTCAAAATCCACAATGGACTACCTCAAGAGGCACAAGCTGAAGGTTTTGCCATGGCCCACACAGTCCCCCAACCTAAACATTGTTAAAAATCTGTGGATAGACCTGAAAAGAGCAGTGCATGCAAGATGGCCCAAGAATCTTTAGGCCCTTTTCCTTTTTTGTTGTTTTGAAACTGTTAAGAAATTAAATTAAAAAGTAATCTTGCTTAAAAACTTGAAGAAATGTTTCATCTTTAACTTCATGCCTTTTGGAGATCAGGTAATCTTCCTTTCACCTAACTATTAAAAGCAAATGAAACTTTGACCAGGGGTGCCCAAACAAAAATTCCATCTTCTTAAATGTGAATAATATTTCAGGTTTCTTTACTCCTCTGTGAGAGCAAACTATTTGGGTTCTAGACAAAACAAGACATTTGAGGACGTCATGTAGACCAAACAACCAAGAAAATAGGTGAAAGACTAATCAACACTGAAAATAATCAGAGTATTATGTTGTCTTTCTTCAGGCTGTCGGCAGAGGGACATTTGGAGTTGTCTTCAAGGCTGTATGGAAAGGAAAGGATGTAGCAATCAAGACCATTGAGAGTGAGAATGAAAGGAACGCTTTCCTTGTTGAGGTAATGTGAACACCTTGTGTTGTCTGCTCTGTGCAGCATCAAACCTACAGCCAGCCTTGAACTTCCGTTATGTGGTATTCTTCAAAGATCCCAAGCAGCTTTTTTGGGGATAGCTGTGTTGTCTTAACCTCTTGAGAACTATGGTAACTGGTTGGAGCACAAGTCTCCATGAGTTTGATAACTAGAGAGGGTTGGGTTACAGGTGTGGCCATTTAACAGGGATTGCTTAGAGCTGGAATATTATATATTGTAATGACCAAAACGTAGCTGCCTTGTCCCATTAAATATTTTGCAAGTTTGGCAACAGTGTGCAGGAATCTTTTTTCTTTCTTAATAAGACTAACATAAAGTTAGTTCTCACTAAGTTTAATATCCTATTTTTTCTTTATTCAATGTTAGTGTTGTTGTAAAATCGGACAGTAATGACCATTAACAAAACAATTCTAAATTGTATTGCTTTAGTTTTAGGAATACAAACACATGTTTGCCCATTTTAGAAAAAGCCAAAGTTAAATGTTACACACAAGCAGCCATAAAAGAACTTTGTCTTTGTGAAATTGGTAAAATTTTGATTTAACTGAGGAACTATCTCATCTGTTAATTAATGAATAAAAACTATTAAAAGCCTTTTTTTTAAAGTATCCATACTTAAGGCATATTTTCTCAAGTGCTTTAAACATTTTCACAGTACTGTATATATTAATGATGTGATATAAAATTACATATTCCATGTCCCACCCCTAGGTCATGAATGTTATCACACTTAAGTCTAGCAGGGCTGTAATCAACCACAGAAAATCCTGGTTGACTGAAATTGTACCGACTCATCTAACAATAGATTGGTCGATGAGGGGAAAAAATCTGCCTGGGTTATCTTTAGATGAACTAAATCAGCCACAGTGCATTGAGTGCGCTCTACCTGCTAGCGTTGTGTGTCTACCAAAGAGTTTTTTTCCTGTCACAATGAATAAATAAAAGAGTGAAATTTAAATGTGATCGCCAATGTAATAATGTTCCCCCCCAAAAACGCGCACATTTAACACTTTTCCACCTGAGCTGATTAAAGGCGCTGTATGTAAGAATGTGGCCAAAACGGTTACTGCACTCAAATTCAAAATACTGCCGCGAGTCATGTCCGCTCCCCCTCCCCTACAGATTCGAGGTTGCTGGACAGCGGCATGCTGGAGACTGATTTGTTTGCCCACGGGCAGCTGCCATGGCAGGGCTGCGTCGCCGCGTACTTGATCTTCGGTTTTCCAGCGGACCGTTCGAGCAAGTCCGGCTTCTCTGCTGCTAACGCTGCTGCCGGGATACAGCTGAGGAGGAGCCGGCTGCTAATGCTATGTAACGGGACACTGCTAACGCTGCTTGCCGTGCTGCTGTAGCTCAGTCGTAACTGTAACTGATGCTGAGACTCTACTGACTGCGTGACTGGTAGATGGCGGTGGGTGGCACAACAGGCCAAAACACAAATTCAAAACATAAACATGATTTGGGGACCGTAACATTTTTTTTAAAATACAAATATTCTGGCCGTACTATTGTTGTCAGTGAGATCAATATGTTATATGAACATTATTCCTTAGTCTCTGTGACATATTAGGATGATTTTACGACTATTTGCTTTAGATTTCTTACATATAGCTCCTTTAAGTGAGTCCATCTCACCACAAAGTGTTGCACATGCAGCAAAAGTTAACTCTGGAGTTGACAATGTCACACACAACATAACGTTAAATATCTCTGTAACGCTGCATGAGAGGGAGACACTTACTATTTTTAGCCCAGAAGCTAACATTAGCCATCATGCAGCTCCAATGAAGACTCCCGTGTGATTGTATCCTTTTTAGAAGCTTTGTGATCCAGCCTTCCACTGCAGTGTCTTTTTAAAGACTTGGTAAAATAAATCCATAGTGATAAATCAGACACCGAATGTCTTCTGTGACTATTTATCTGTTTTCTGATTAAAGTTGAAAGTTGAAAAATGTTTAACTTTTAAAATACTGCATGCTTCACTGTCACCAGCCGTCCAATCACAGCAGAGAAGGGGTAGGACAAACACAGCAGAGACCTAATCATCATAGAGGACAAATACAAGTGCTGAACAACAACAGCTGTTGTTTTTCATCTGGGTAAATAAACCTTTGGTGGACACACGACCTTAGTAAAGTAACACCAGCCATTGTCTCACCAACGAGAATTTGGTCGGACAAGAACATATTGACTAAATAATCGACCAACTGAACAGAACTTGACAGCCCAAATGTCTAGAGAGACACACACACACACACACACACACACACACATACATCCTATTTGTTAGTTCACAAATACTGGAGCTTGGTTTTTGGATAAAGGTCAGAATACAGTTATTACAGTTATAAGTTTCAGCTGGTGTTGCGAGCAGCGTTGAATGGGCCCTTGCACATTCTCGCACACTGAGGGTACTGATGGGACACTGGTCAAAACGGCCTTGTATTCATTCCCAAACATCCAAATTGCTCGCCTCGCAACCAAAACACACACGCATTTTGGCATCTTGAAGCTCTTGAGACTTTGCTGACCAAATTGGAGATGGATATGTCAAATCCCCAAGGAAGAGAGAGGGAGAAGAACACAGTTTTTTAGAGATTGTAGGCAGTTTTGAAGAGGTGTGTTTTGAGGGATTTCTTGAAGGTGGAGAGTGAGGGGGAGTCTCTGAGGTCTTTAACAAGAGAATTCCAGATGGTGGGAGCAGCAATGGTGAAGGCCCTGTCCCCCAAGGTGCAACAGCAGAGCTGATATTGAGGGAGGGAGTGTGCCGGAGCTCAGACAGGTAGAGGGGAGCCAGGTTATTGAGGGCTTTATAGGTAATGAGGAGGAGTTTGAAGTGGATAAGCTGGGGGATAGGGAGGCAGTGGAGGTTATGAAGGACGGGGGTGATGTGGTCATGTTGTGGGAGTGTGTGAGAAGACGAGCAGCAGAATTCTAGATATTTTGTTGTTTCTTGAGAAATCTTTACAAAACAAAAGGTTCCTTGCTCCTACAGGGATCATTTGGCCCTGGCACTGCTGTACCCCTAAATATCATTAAAATCCATAATACATGTTCAATATATGCAGAAATGTATACTTAATATGGGTCAGTGTAATACACACTCACAGACAGACAGGGATTAATATATGGATTCATGTGTACGTGGTAATATGTATTTTTTTATCTGTGCACAGCTCCGCCAGCTCTCCCGAGTGAATCACCCCAACATTGTTAAGCTTTATGGCTCCTGTGACAATCCAGTGAGTATACAACACTCAACACCAATAGCTCATATATTGCCTAACATATCAGTGGCCTTCTCTTCTGATGTGTGGTAAAGGACAAACCACTTCCTGAATGAACCTCAGAGCTCATCACCAGGGTTTTAGATAACATAAGTTTCAGAGTTGTCCCAATTTAGAACACTTTTGGACATGAAACTTTGCATACATGTATTTCTCCAACTCCAAATGTTTGTCCCTTTATAATGCTGTCAGGTACTTCCTCACTTGATAGCGAGGTTAGAACTCTGAAAGGGAAGTGAGAACACACTGACTGGAGCCTCCAGTCATTTATGTAAACCACACATGGTGGCTGACTGTCAGTGGAGCAGCTGCGATGTGGGTTTATGTCCATCATAATGTAGCTGAGCTTAGAGTATGTTACAGACGACCCATGCCTCAGTGTCATGCTTTCAGTGCTAAGGTAACATGATGGCGGCTGTGGTTCAGAGGTAGAGTGGGTTGTGCACTACAGAGAAGAGTGGTGGTACGATCCCTGGCTCCTCCATTCCGCATCCTGAAGCATCCTTGGGCAAGATACTGAACCCCAAATTGCTCCCGATGGCTGTTCCATTGGTGTGTGAGAGCTTGTGAATGGTTACTGAGTAGCAGGTGGCACCATGTATGATAGCCTCAGCCACCAGTGTTGGAATGGGTGAATGTGACAGTGTGTAAGCGCTTTGAGTGGTCAGAAGACCACAAAGGCACTATGTAAGTGCAGTCCATTTACCATTTTCCATGATTTGTGTTCTCAGGTGTGTCTGGTCATGGAGTATGCAGAATGTGGCTCTTTATATAACCGTAAGTCATATTGTGTCTAGTTGATTCATGTTGACTGAATATCATGATAAACAACATAAGCTACAATTTTGTCACACCATAGGCTGAATAGTTGTTGCCCAGAATAACAATACATATTTTTTTTTATCTCAGTAACCCCTTTTTATTTTTCACTTCATCCATCAGTCCTGCACAGTGCAGACCCACAGCCCCACTACACAGCATCCCATGCCATGAGCTGGTGTCTGCAGTGTGCCCAGGGAGTTGCCTATCTGCATGCTATGAAGCCAAAGGCCTTAATTCATCGGGACCTCAAACCGCCAAAGTGAGTCTCTTTATGATCAAGCGCATACACGTTACACAGCTCAGAGTTTTTGTGAGAAAACACGGTGATGATCACAAGTCACAGGAAGCTTTAAAAGACACCTCAAATGAAAAGATTATGCAGTCACAATTATGTGTGACTGCACTAATAACTCGAGATGATCCAGATATCACTGGTATGCACTGGAATGTAGGGTTGGGTACCGAAACTCGGTACTTTTTGTAGTTGGTACTGATTCACGTCGGTACTACCAAGTACCGATTCACTTAAAATGAATCGGTGCCAAATTTCGGTACCTGAGGTGGAGGCGGAGCGAGCGCATGACTTGCACCTAAGACTCAGCAACAATGGCGACAAAAAAAATGTGCAGACAAAAGTTAACGTGCAGCAATGTTCCTAAATGTTCTCAATAAAATGTTGAAACTGAGAAGTTTAGACTATGGGCCCGAACGACGCATAGTGCGTCCAAATTCACACCCGTTTTTCTCTGTGGATTTTCTCCGCGACCGTGTGTCATAGCGAGAAGCCACGCATATCACTTGAAACAGCGGAATTGTAGCTTTCCGACAAGCACTTGTCGGTAATCCAATGTTTTCACAGCGATCTTAGATGTAAATATTGCATGTTTCTTTCAGATGAAACACATTTTTGACTTGTGAATGAGTCAATGGAATTTCTTGCAATAATGAAAAAATACTGGCAATTATGTCCGCCTGGCACAAACCACATGTTTTGGACAGCTGTGAAGTGACAGATTGTCCCATCATCATGGTTCTTATATTGCCAGATTCCAGAGAGTCTCCCCTCTTCATATATGGTAGAATATGTCTTCTTCCAACTTGCTATGGTGAGATACATGTAAAAATGTAAGAATTTTTTTTTTTTTCAATGATAAAAAAATTAATATAAAATACAGGCACATAGGAGGACATGGAATGATGGCAAATCTGGTTAGCCCAGATTGTCCTGAAAAAAACAAACAAGATATAGCATATGTATGTAGCCTTTATAATGACTGTGATATGAGCTTAAAAGTAAAGGCAGTAAAAATACCCCAAAAAGGCCTAGGGCCCATAGGGTTAAAAAGTACCGAAATAAGGTACCGTTTGGTACCGGTACCGAATTCCAGATACCGGTACCGGTACCGTATCTGTTCAGTTATGAACGGTACCCAACCCTACTGGAATGTCTACTTGTCTACTTGTTACTGTATTGTTCCTGCTGTGACTCAGCAGCCTGAAGATGAATACAGGTTCATCTTCTTTATAGAAAAGGACTCTTGGTTTTTGTGGCTAAGGATTTGACCTCCAAAATTGAACTGCTTGTTGAAATTGCCTGCAGGCCACCACTGTGTTAGGCTGCATTTACACCACGTCCAACATTACAGGAATTAGCCGCAGGCTTGTGTGGCATTGTGAGAGTCTCACTTAAGGTGGATTTATACTTGTGCCCCAGCTCTATGCAGAGCCTAAGCTGTAGCCTACTCATGTAGCCTATGACACGGGAATTTTTACTTGCTTGATTGTGTGACAGTGTCACTCTGCAGTTACACCTCCAAAACACCAGTCAGCCCAAGCCTGGGCTGGCATTGGTATTTTACATTTTATAAATTAGCCTTGCAGCTAGCAGAGATTTCCTTTACTTATATGAAGCCAGGAGCAACAGCAAAATTTAACAAGGGTAATGTTACAAAATCAGACTCCATTACAACTCACAAGGTTCACAGACAAACCAGCTGTCTTATACTAAACATGTTTACAACATGCTAATGTTATTAGCATAAGCCTATGGCATTTTACATTGTATAAATTAGCCTAGTGACTAGCAGAGATTTCTTCCACTCATATGGGGCCAGGCCAAATCACACTTGAGACTTAAAATGCTATTTGGTTGGGGCTTCATTGTCTTCACAATTTATTGTCTCTTATCTGTGAAATAAAAGTAAAAGTAAGCTTTGTTTACACTGAGGAAAATGGTTTTTAGCTTACAAAAATAGACAGCAGGTCTGCGTCGCTGCAACATGTAATTACATTTCTGGGGAGGTGAACGTCAGGCTATGGTGTAGGGTACGGTTACAGCAGAGCCTATGCCATAGGTACAGCATCGATTCGATGCAGAAGTATAAATACTGATTTAAAGGTCCAGTGTGTGAGATTTAGGGGGATTTAGTGGTATGATGGCATGTAGTGATGAGGATTGTAAATTTCAAGTAACTGAAACTTCTCCTGATTAGAATTCCTTCAGTGTTCATTAGGTTTTTTCCCAGGAGCTGAGTTATCCCCAGAGGTCTCTACCTCTCCGTAACAAGCAGCCTAGGTGATTAATATCAGTAAAAACACTGCAAAAAGCAGTTTCATGTTTAAAAAAAATCTGTTTTTCTGACACTCATCCGGAGGGGCTGTATCAACAGTGACAGATGTGACAACTGGCCCTGTCAAGCCAGTGTTGGTTTGTCTGTTCTGGGCTACTGTAGAAACACAGTGGTCCAACACAGTAGATTGTGTGGATGAGGACCTGCTCCCTATGTAGATGGCACATTCTAAAGTAAAAAAAACACAATGATTATTATTTTCAGATGATTATACACATATATACTTATTATATGATATTCCATCTGCACACACAGTTATCAGAGAAAAAAGGAGAGCACAGACCAGCAGGTGCAGTTCTAGCAGCCCATCTACGACAAGCCAAACAGCGCCTGAGAAACACTAATTTGTAACATGAAACTGCTGTTTTAAGTATTTTTTCAAGTTTTGATCACCTGGTCTGTTTGTTTTAGAGAGACAGAGACTTCTGTGGATAATTTGGCTTCCGCTTAAAACCTCAAAACCCTGAAGGAATTGTAACAAGAAGTGTCAGATGGTTGCAATCTGCAATCCTAACCACTAGATGCCACTAATTCCCCCTAAATCTCACACACATCCTTTAAATCTGTTTCAACTTTTTGCCGCAGGTTACTGTGTTATATTTTCGGACCCCCCTGCAGCCCCCCTACCAGAGTCTAGACACACAAGTAAATGGGAGGACCGGCATAATTGCAACAATGCCAGATCTGGTGTAAGCAGTCCTACACAGCTGCTGACTGGTGAAGAATAGGAACCTGTTCATGTTGCAAAGACATTTTGTACAAACATTCATGGTCCCCAGAGGATGTATTGTAATACTTTGGTGACTTTTAAACTAGTGTCTTTCTCAGGATAAAATTTCATTTTGTCCAATACTTAGTTTTGTGATCAAAAAACTGCAAAGTTATCCTGTGTGAACTTGGTTTCATTCACAGATATATTGGACCGAAACATAACAGCATGTTTATAGTGCATAACATATTTTCTTCACTTTTTCTCCACTGCACTGTTTCAGTCTGCTCCTCGTGGGTCGTGGCACCGTGCTGAAGATATGTGACTTTGGAACAGCTTGTGATATTCAGACCTACATGACCAACAATAAAGGCAGTGCAGCCTGGATGGCACCAGAGGTGTTTGAAGGTGAGCTACAAACATGACTTCCACTTCTCATTTTGGAGTGCTAACCCAGAGTTTTGATTATTAGAGTAAAGATTTGTTTTCTACAATCAGTGTCTAGATTTGTTTTTTTTTTATAGTTCATGTCTTTGTTTATTTTCAAATCATGAAGATTTAAGCTCACAGCTAGACTCAGTTCTGACTGGATTTGCCCTCCAATAATTATACTTCACTTGACATAGATGAGCTGGAGTTTTTAGCCAATCAGAATGCAGTCACTTTGGAAGTGCTGTAATGTATTACAATTAGGGTTTGATATTAACTACCTAGTGTAAATTTCAAACTTGCTATCCACTCTGAGTTGTCACTTTTCATCAGGTGTTTCAAAAATATGTAACCAGTCTTGTGACAAACTGACAAGATAGTGTTTAATTACTACACTCCCATTATCATTTTTCTTCTCCATCCATTTCTTTTGCATGTAGCAGATAGTGCACAATATGTTGCAGTGTCTAAATACAGCCAACAGAATTTGATAACTTGACAACATTACCAGCCAAGCTTCATTTTTACCTGTGTTTTGTTTAAGTCCTGAGTACAGTAAATGTAACTCTGGTGTGTGTTCTTCAGGCAGTAACTACAGTGAGAAGTGTGATGTGTTCAGTTGGGGCATTATCTTGTGGGAGGTCATCACACGCAAGAAACCCTTCGATGAGATTGGTGGCTCGGCGTTTTGTATAATGTGGGCTGTCCACAGAGGTGAGAGAAATCCTGCATCAACTGCAGCTATGATACCAACTGCTTCTGAGTTTGTTATTTTAAGATGTTCTCCTGCAGCATTTTTTTAACTGTACACTGTGAGTCTGACAGTATTATAGTTACAAAAGTTTAAAGCTAAGTTGTACTTTTTTAATAACCTACTATGAATGAGATTATTGATAGTAAGTTACCTCCTCCAGGCTGATGTAACATGATCTGCAGACTTGACATTGTCATTTCAGATAGATAGATCATAGTGAGAAAATATACCAATGTCTATCTAAGTTATGATGGTAGAAAGTGACTTATGCCACATGACATGATGATGATAGCAACCGCTTACTTATGATGATTAATAAATGATATGCCATTATGCCTGGTGAATGTTCCCCGACTTGGTGTTTTATATGATGTACAGTGTGATCACATTCCACTATGAATGTTAAACATTACAAAAATAATACAGTTACCTGTATTATTAATTGGCTCCAACTTCAGTTATCAGTTGGTCAAATTGGTTATGGTAGCTAGGCTATCAATAGCCATGTTAGCTAAGGCTAGCTCTAATAAAGATTTCAGATTCATTGGCAAGGATATTCCTAATATACAATTATCTAACTGTCATTTGCAATCTAACTAAATTAAACTAAACTAAACTAAACTAAACTATATGTGCCGGTGGAACACAGGCAGCATACCACTCCAGGGACTGGCTTATGGCGCTTAGGGTTTGGCATACGCTGCTGAACCCCAAATGGTCAGCCACTTTTCAGTCTCTGTGCTACTGGGACTCAGAGTAGTATCAGTTGAACTTGTAAAGACCAATGTGACCAGACATAACCATCACAAGCAGTGGTGATAGGAGCTAGCAAAATGTATCGCATGCAGACCTTCCAGGCGTCTGACTACCTTTTTACTGTGACACAGGTACACGGCCTCCTCTGATTAAAGACCTCCCAGAGCCCATAGAGACTCTGATGACCCGCTGCTGGGACAAGGAGCCCAGCCAGAGACCATCCATGGAGGAGGTCAAGAACACCATGAGCCATCTCATGAAGGTATAGTCCCAACACGAACTGTTCCTCCCCCTGAAACCACACACATGATCTTTTTTACATGTATGTTTGTGTGCAGAATAAACAAAGGGAATCTAACATATTAATCGGCTGTTGAGGTGTTGGTGGGTGTATTTTAAGAACTGACATTGAAACATATCATGCACTGATCACAGCCACAGAGTTTTACATATTAAACATAAAACAGCAATAACCAAGAGAACCACTGCCAAAAACAAAGCAAGAGTGATGTTTCAGCAGCATGTTGTAGGTCAGCACAAAGCTCAGACTTTGACAGAAGTGGAGATGAACTCAGCTCCTTTGTGAGCTCAGTCTCTTGCAGTATCATATGAGCTGAAAATTAATGTACAAGATGTGTAAAGGCCCGAACATACTCGGGCAGAGCGTACGCGGAACGGACTCCGCGGAGGTACGCGCGGACTCAAAGTGGACGTCCGCAAGCCCTGTGCGCGCAAAGCTCAGATTTTACGACCGCGCGGACTCCGCTTCGCGCACCACTGACTGCTCTGCTTGTATTTTTCACATCGCGGGGATTTTTCACTGACATTTTTACAGGAAACTACAACGCGGAAGTGCGCTCGACTATGGAAGCCCGAATGACTGTGGACATTCCTCGCGGAGTCCGTTCCGCGTACGTTCTGCCCGAGTATGTTCGGGCCTTAAGACACAGCATAACATTTAAATCACTTTGAAGTACTCAATAGGATACTAGCGAAGTAATTTATGTTATATCAAGAAAATGAGATGCAATTTATAGAAACTGAAGTTCTGTATAAACAAAAAATTTAAAGAGAAAAACAGTGAAATGTTACTTGTGCTTATAAGGACTACAGCCATTGGACAAAGCTAATTATTACCTTTACATGTATGTCTATGACAGGGAATTTAAAACACATCTTTTGATTGTAATACTGTGAAGATCAGATTTTAAAGGGGACCTATTTTGATAATTTTCATACTTTTATTAAGAGGTCCAGTGTGTAAAATTAAGGGAGATTTAGTGGTAAATAGCATTGAGGATTGCAGATTGCAACCAGCTGAAACTTCTCCTAGTTAGAATTCCTTCAGTGTTTACTGTTCAGGAGGTTTTTATCTGTAGCCGAATTGTCCGCAGTTGTCTCTTCCTCTATAAAACAAACAGACCAGGTGATCAAATCGTGTAAAAACACAATATAAAGCAGTTTCATGTTACAAATAAGTGTTTCTCTGATGCTGTTTGGCATGTAGGAGACAGGCCGCTGGCTGAGCACCTTTTAATGTGTGCTTGACTTTTTACTCTGATAACTTAATGTGTGTTCACCTTATCTCTGATCCAGATGTTTAGTAGGTTTTTACTGTAAACCAAATTATCCGCCGAGGTCTCCTCCTCCCTAGAACAAACACAGCCGGTGATTTAAACTGGTAAAAACATTGAATAAAGCAATTTCACATTGAAAAATTCAGTGATCTTTAGATGCTCTCACCTCAGAGGGGCTGCTGACTACACACTGGACCTTTAAGGTTTCTACTAGGACATGTTTACATGCTTTGATTTTCAAAAAAACACTTCCTCATACCGTCTGTGCTGGAACACCGGTATTCACCCTTTGCCTGAAATGCTCTGTTCAGCCTGTCTCTTTGAGCTCCCTTCCTAGTCTGCTCTGATATGTCAGTGTTTTTGGGTCTTCCATATCCTGGTGTCTCTTCACCATCATTGCAGCTGGAGGAATGTCTGTGAAATGATTCGATACTGGGGAGAAATTAATTAAGTTTCTAAGTTTTTAAATGTTTGTTAACTTAACACGTTTCCTCGACGTTAGTATGTAGCTACATGTATCAGTGTAGGATACATAATGTAAACACTTACAGAATTGTGCCTTATCAAGAAATCTGGCACACTATGATGTCATACTTAAGCCAGAGTAAAAAATGAAAGTTTGAAAAAGTATTAAGAACAGTCTGAAGCCTGTTGATTTTGCTCACAAGGATTTCTTTAAGAATTTCTTTTACCTTATTATTTGAAACTTTGGCCACATTTAAGATGAACATCTGCCATTATAACATAATACACAAGATACAGAAGTGCTTAACAGGTCCCCTGAAGTACAGAGTAAGTGCAGCTCATGTCAAACTGTGATCAATTTGACATGTGTTCACAAGCAACAGTTTATTAAGAGGAACATTCAGAGTGGAACTCTGGAGAAAGCTACGTGTGTGTCAGATTCTTTGTAACATTGGTTTAGCCTGAAGTAGAGATGCACCGATCCAGCTTTTTCAGTTTCGATACCGATCCCAGTGCTTTGGCTTTGAGTATCAGATCCGATACCATGGTTGACCTAAAAAGCAGAAAAGACTAGAGGCATCAGGCATTGATGACTACATAGTTCTTTCCTAAGAAAATGAAACAAGATGAAACAGATTAATGCAATGATGAACAATTTATTTTTAACAAAAAAAAATTGTGTAACAACAGTTGAAATAGTGTGAAATACCTCCACACAGCAGATTCTCTCCTTCGCTCCATGACGTATGACGTAGCTCGCGTCCCAATAGATTTAAAGGAAAAGGATCGCCTCAGGTATAGCTTGCATTTTCCAATTCCCGATCCATCTATTTTGATGATATCGGGGCCGATATTCGATCCAGATATTGGATCGGTGCATCCCTAGCCTGAAGTGAATCTAGACGTGATAACTAACCTGACCAGGACAGATTAGTCTGGGGAATCCATTTCCATGGTGATTTAGTCAAAATATATTTGAACCTCAGTTATGAAACAGAATTTACTGAAAATAAGCCCGACTTGCTGAAATAAATGTGGTTTAACTGGTTCAATGAAACAGCCTTCAGCTCGGTGCCCAACACATAGACATCATCTCTCACTGTGGGAGAGAACAAGGGTTAGAACTGTTCCTTTAGTGCGGTAATGCTTTGTTAGTTGCAACAAATAACCTTCTGATCTTTTTTCTATCATATGAGACTCTACAAGTCAGGTCAAATTGTAATGATATCCTTTGTAAAAGTGCTGGATGGTGTGTTTGGATCTTCCAGTACTTCCCAGGCTCTGATGAACCACTTAAGCTCTCTCACCAGTCTTCAGCCAACAGGAGTGGCTCCTCATCAGCCACAAGCACAGGTAATTATTGGCTCTGCAGCTGCTGCTAATGCAAGACCGTTTCTGTCTATAGTCACTGTGTTAAATTAATTATATGTTGCAGTCAGAGAAAGTGTTCTCATGAATCAGTCTCTGCTGTGTGCAGGCTCGTATGCTGACTACACCATCAACAGCAACAGGAGTGATGACAACACAGAACGCAGGAACTCCGTTGGCAGAGAAGAAACCCTCAAAAGCTTTGAAGCTAAATTTCCACTCCAGTTCAAACCCTCAAAGGTAACCTGACTGCAAACACTGATGGTGCAGCATCATACTGTCAGGACTGTGTTTGATCCCAGCCAGTGTTATGGTTTCTTCCCCCTCAGACAGCCACATTGCGTACTGGACTGTCCAGGGTGTCCAGTGTAGACAGCCAACCAGGACGCTCCCAAAGCCCCACCCACTGCACCAGCCCTACAACCACGACCGGCCAGTCAGAGCTGAGGATGACATTTAGTCCCACAGGTAGGGAGCTTCGTTAGAATGAACAACTGACACTGAAGCTCGGTCAAAAGGAAATCCACTAGCAGGCTAACTACAGCATGGAGTCTAGATGCTGGTGTTGGTGATGGTGGGGATGAGATGAGATGAGATGAAGAGGGAGCATAGGATCTGGATGTGAAGAGGAGTGGGCATTGATGAGCTTGGGCAGGGCTCTGGATAAGGTGGCTGGAGGGTTGAGGAGGGTGTGACGATTCTGCTTAAAATGACAGCTGAAAGAAGCACAGAGGAGAACAGATTTAAAGTTTGGCAGCAGCAACATGAATGGCTGAAGGAGATCGTGGCAAAGTTTGATTGTCTAACTAGGAAAGGGAATACCCATAGTTAGCTGGTCTTCCTGATTGAATTTACGCTGAGCTTTGGTTGAACGTAACGTGCGGGCGAACACAGATCTTAAAATAAAAAGAATTCATGCAGATTCTGAGGCGATATTGTTGAAAAGTGGAGATGATGGCCCACATTTCAGAGTCTCTCCTGAAAGACAGTCAGTGTTGCACACAGTTGTTCACATGAGAAGTGTCAAGAATGAAAACAGAGAGTTGGAGAGAGTTCAAACTCAGCATAATCTTTTATCTCCTCCACACAGCTGACCAAGAGTTAATTGTGAATGCAGGATTGTCGTTTCTTTACTATTTACGGATGCATCCGCCACTTTATTCCACTCCAAGCCTGATTGACAGTACATGTGACAGACCTGTGGGGTTTGCTTTTCATTTTCTCCTTGAGTCTTTCTTAGACAGGTTGAGTTCATCAGGAGTTTGACATCACCAGGATGACTAAACACACACACACTGTCAGAACTTTAAGTTGCACTGCCCACATTGCACCACTAAGGGGCATTACAGTGTAACCTATCAGTGTTTGTATGTCTGTGAGTGAGTGCTTTTTGCTACAGGAGCTCTCTTACAGTGACACTGATGTCTGTCTGTCTGTCTTTAGCTACCAATGGTTTTGACAGCTCCATTCCAATGGCCTACCTGAAACTGGATCACCAGTTGCAGGTAAGTTGAAAATACATTTTTGTGTTTGTTAGGTAAAAATGTTCGTTAGGTTAAAATGTTTGCCTTATTGCTATCACATCTGTCATAAATAATATTAATAATAATAATGATAATGATAATTATATTTTATATGATGAGTTGTTTTTTTATAACTTAGGTTGGCTCAGTAGATCACTTTAGCCTGGTCTGGTTCAATACAAGGTCCCAGCTATAGTGTGTCCTCCCAGTAAACACCATGTCCCTCTATTAAAGGTTTCTCTGACTTCTGCAGTGGAGTAGCAAGATACATGCAGACACATACACATATCACATATATGCAAGTTTGGCATACTCACATCGTGACTGTGAGTGAAACAGTACAAGTATGTAAGTGAATTAAAAATGAAAAGAAACAAAATTCTATTGAAAAGAGAAATATTTACAGGTCCAGTATGTAGGATTTCAGGGGATATATTGGCAAAAAATAAATATAATAAGTGTGTTTTCTTTAGAGTATAAACACCTGAAAAAATAAGAATTGTTGTACTTTCGTTATCTTAGAATGAGCCGTTTATATCTACATAGGGAGTGGATCCTTGTCTACCAAGATCGCCATGTTGGTGGAATCGTTACTTATATATCTTGGTCATTGAATTAACTGTAGTTTGGTAGTGTGAGCTAAATAGTTTGCCAAGTTAGTGTACAAGTTTAAGATTTGAGAGGTTGGTTTTTAATTTAAGACTAAACAATGGTATTGTTTTTCACACTATGACTCTAATCCAGTTGTGTGATGTTGATCTTGATGAAAGCTGTGTACAAGTCACTCAGGTGTCACTCTACTTTCAGCCCCTGATTCCATGTCCAAACTCCAAAGAGTCCATGGCCGTGTTTGAACAGCACATCAGAATGGCTCAGGAGTATCTTAAAGTCCAGTCTGAGATCACTCACCTCGTTCTGAGAAAGTAAGTCCAGTCTTATGTCATTTGTTACTATCTTTTTTTTTAACTCTATACGGCTTTGAGAAGTTTGTAATAGAAGATGTATTGCTAAGCAAAGGATAATACCCACAAGGTGCCCATTATTAGGAATTAATGGGCGACATGGAGGCGTGGGTGTTCGTCATCATTTTACCTTAATGTTCATTTGAACTGACATCATTGTGTGTACTTGGAAAGAGTATATTTTTCACTTCTGGTATCTATTCCCATGGCGAGTTTGATCTTAAATTTGATTTGAAATGGTCTTAAAAAATCTTGAATTTAACTTGTTTCTGCCTGTAGATACTCTGTACACAACATCTATCCAATAGGTGAGTCTTCTGTCAGTCCGGAGCTACAAAGGCAACAATGTAGCATGTGTTCTCTAAGCCAGACAAACTGAACCAGAAAATGCTAAACTTGTCCACCTTTATTTCTTCTGTAATTGCTAATGATGTTTACAGACATTACATCACTCTTTGTCTCTCTGTTTGTGTCATTTCATATGTCTACTAATGGATAAAATAAACACTGAAAAAAGGAGCTCACAAATGTGGTGAAAACAGAAATATATTATAAACCAAAACTAACTGGGTGATGAGATTTCAGGTCAAATTTTTACTCAGAAATATGACCCAGTGTAGCTTCAGTCATTAAGAAAAAACATTCTGAAATACACAAGACATTTTCAAGGATGTCTGCTGCCGCTGGCTCCCCTGTAATTGCAATTCTGCATTTAAAGGAGCAGTTCAGCATTGCGGGAAATAGGCGTTTTTCTGAGAGTAAGATGAGAAGATTAAGACCAATTTAAGTACAGAGTCAGGACATTGTTAGCCTAGCTTAGCATAAAGACAGGGAACAGTGGACAACAGTACTCAACTCTCTCTAAAACCATGTGCTGTCATTTTTTTATTTTTATTTGTGTATGGGTTGATTAATTTGTTATCTTTAGAGGCTAGCTAGACTAACTTTTTCATCTGTTTCCAGTCTTTATGCTAAGCTAAGCTAACTGTAGCACATAAGCATAATTCCAAAAATGATGTCAGTCCATCCCATTCTCTTGAATGGGTTATCTCAAGAAAGCCTCGAGGGGTTTCTCAAAGTTTGGCATAACTGTCCACTTGGACCTAACAATTAAGTGATTAGATTTTGGTGGTTGTAGGTCAGAGGTCATGGTCACTGTGACCTCATCCATCCTATTTTCATGAAAGTGATTTCAGAAACATCTTGAGGGAATTCCTTTACATTTGGTTCAAACATCCACTTGGTCTCATGGATGAACAGATTTTGATTTTGGTGTTCAAAGCTCAAGGCCACTGTGACCTTGTGTCTGTCTTATTCTCGAGAACATGTTTTCATAGACAGATGTAAACTGTAACTGCAATTTGACAGGTGTGCGGAGGCATACAACTGCATGGCTGTAATTCTATTTTTTTAACAGTATTTAAAATTGATAACATCTTATTCCATTGTAGATCTGTGCTCAGAGCACTGATTTGCTGAGTGTCTTGCCCTGCTGTCTCTCTTCATCTCTGTCTCTATCTTATAAGAATTGCATGCTAGCCACCCTGCACTTCCTCTGCCTCTTCTTGCTGGTAGGAGACTATTACCCAGAAAGACAGCTGGTGTAAACCCCAGCACCAGGATAATATGGGTCTAACAGCAGGCTGGGTTTGATCTAGGGGGAAAAGTCTCTTTGGGCCCCATGGCATCACGTGACGGGCGCGGATGGTGCAGTTCCACGTTTGACCACTATGTAAAATTGGCTTCAGAGCCCAGCACTGTTCCTGGGGGCTTTGGTGAAAGTTCATGTGCTTGGACTGTCCACCATTGTCTGCTTTCTCGCTTGGGCTTTATTTTTGTTGAAATAGATAGGAGGCCACGTTACTTGTAGATTACCACATTAAAGCAGCAACGTCTTTGATTTTAGAAGGTGGTACAAGTCATGCAGTTAATCCCTCTATCTCTCTGCATTTCCTATCATGTGCTGCTGAGCCCATGTTTAAAGTATTTTCAGAGATGTTACAGTTCTGACAGTTAGATTGCTGTCTTTTCACTTAAAAGTGTCCAGGTTGCTTATTTAGACATGAGACTGTCCACAATGCACTGACAGTAACAAAGGGCTCTGTGCTGCCCCCTCTGTTTAGACAGGAGCTAATGTCTGAGCTGGAGCAGGACCAGAGGGAGCAGCAGACTTCATCTCGACTCATCCAGGAACACAACAAGCTGCTGGAGGACAACAACAGCCTGTCTGCCTACTGCCAGGGCCTGAAGAGCAAACTGAGTCTGATCAAGAGTCAGAACCAGCAGCACAGCTAGGACAGTCCACTTGTCAGTCTCCTCTGTGGTTTTTAATCTCTTCTCTTCCCCCTTGACGCTTTCCCTGAAGGCTGAGAGGAATCACTCCATGAGCTGACCATGAAGTAGGGAAACCCATTATCCAGAGAAAATAACATATTTTACACACCAGTAAATAATGTATCAAGACATGAAAAAAAACTCAGTGAGTTTGGCCATATATGTACAAAGCAAACTTTTAAATTTCCTTGCACAAACACACCTGTTTGACTGCAAAGGGACAGTTCACTCAAGAATCAAAAACACATATTTTTTCTCTTACCTATAGTGCTATGTATCAGACTAGATTGTTTTGATGTGAGTTGCTGAGTGTTGGAGATATAAGCTGTAGAGTTATCTTCCTTCTCTCCAAGATAATGGATCTAGATGGCACTCATGTAGGAACTATTTTCTTTCTAACGAACTACACCTGTCACCTGTATCTCCGCACAGAAGGAAGCGTGCATATCCTAGGTAAGAGGAAAACTGGATTTTTTATTTTGGGGTGAACTGTCCCTTTAAATAGATTAAAATCAGTATTGAGTATACGGCTATACTTTAAATCTTTGGGAGCTGTCCCTTTTAAAATATATGTGAGCACCTTTTTTTTTACCTTAAGGTGATGAGATAATTCAGTTCTGAGATCATGAGCCTGAAAAATGAGTAGCCACCACGTCCTTTCTGGGTCTCCATACTTCTTTTATTTCACAGTGGTATTGACATGATGGGACCAAGGTGATTTACATGGACTTGTAGTCTGAAATGGACTTTCATTGAAAAACCCTGAAGCTTCAGGTGTCAGAAGGTGACTTGCCTTTTAGCCAGTGAGTTTTATTTTATTGCATTTTATTTTTTTGAGTTGTTGAAAAGAAACTACACCTGTAATTTGTAAATTCTTACTTTTATATATTCACTTTATCAAACCCATTGTATTATGTTGTATGGAAAGAGGAAAGGCTCTGACAGTGTGGGCCGTATCATTTTAAACCAATTTTTACTGTGAATACAAGACTTAGCAAAGGAAATGAGCTCTAGAGACGCGCTGCCTCGGAGCAAAAGAAAAGCTTTGTTGAAAGGCTGTTTGAAATGAAAATAACTGTAGAATAATGAACCTGGCAGACATTTTATCCATCTGTTTAATTTCTAATTCCTTTACTTACTTTTTACACAGTTATATTTCACAGAATTATATTAACATTTCTTCTTCACTGCACTTATTTGGGTCAAGGAAATCTTGTGTTGTAGTCTCACTCTAGTTTTGCAGTTTCTATGTCAGTGGGTTACTATGGGATGGATTGTTGTTTTAATGCATTTCTTCAGATGTTGCCTAAGGATTGTTCTTGTACAGTTCATTTTCTCATCTCAGCTTATTTTTTTATAAAACGATTCTCTTGTGATTTTAAAATGTACAGACTGCAATTATATGCTTTTAGAAAGTAAAAACAAAGTTTGTAGTACATTTGTGAGTCATCTTACTGCTCTTATTGCAACTTTACTGCTTTGTCTGTAGGAAGATTCTGTATTGTGAAGCTTCACCTGCCAGTGACAGCCTGACATACGTGTGAACTATGACTAACTTAAAGGATAACTTCAGCATTTCCCAACCTGGACCCTATTTCCCCTTGTAAATTGGTCAAAGACTGATGTGAAGGACCATTTTTGAATTGGTCCAGTACTGAGCAAGCAGGCAGCAGCCGGCAGCCAAGGGACTGGCTATAATGGACATACAGGGGGCAACTGAACATCGTCACTGTATTTCCATTATTAGTGGTTATTTTTGATGCAGAGTGGCTCAGATTGTTATTATAAGTGTCTCAGGTGTCTCTTTACCTTCCTCTTGATCCAGTCTGTGTGTCTCTTTCCATACCCATTGGAAGCTTTGTCACCTTCTACCTATGCCAATCCTCAATGCCTATGTGCAGGTTCACATAGGTTGACCACATCAGTGAGTAGAAAAACATGGGACAGACAGAATGACTGACTGACACAGCGATCGGTTGCATTTTAGCCATTTTTAAGCATTTTTCTGTTGTTATAGCGCCATCCAGCTGCCAGTTAGAGTTAAATTTCTCCAGTCACCTTGAGGCGTCCTGTTCTACATATCTACCAAGTTTAGTAAAAATCGATATGGCGGTTAGGCCTAGATAAGAAATTAGCTCTCTAGCACCCCCATTTTGTTTGATGGGGTCAATAATGGAGGGGTCCCCTCAGATTATGTGTGGTCATATGCCTACAAAGTTGCTTGGTGATCGGTGAAACCCTTGAGATGTTATACACCTTTATGTGATGAGCCACGCCCTCCGCAATATTCATTGCCTTATAGAAGCTCAGTTTTAGTAAGTTTTCCAACTTTTGCCAAGAGGGAACTTTAGATATTGGTCCCTAGATTATGTTCACTTAGTTTCATGCAGATCGGTCAAACTTCCTAGGAAGAGATCGATTTTAAGTGTTTTTCAAAAAATTCAAAATGGCGGAAAATCTATATAACCAGAAGTTATGGGTTCATTCATTCATTCATTCATTCATTCATCTTCTACCCGCTTCATCCTCTTGAGGGTTGCGGGGGGGGCTGGAGCCTATCCCAGCTGACATTGGGCGAGAGGCAGGGTACACCCTGGACAGGTCGCCAGACTATCGCAGGGCTGACACATAGAGACATACAACCATTCACGCTCACATTCACACCTACAGACAATTTAGAGTTATCAGTTAACCTAGTCCCCAATCTGCATGTCTTTGGACTGTGGGAGGAAGCCGGAGTGCCTGGAGAGAACCCACGCTGACACGGGGAGATCATGCAAACTCCACACAATTTGTTCTTCATGAGGAGAGGCATCTCTGTGCAAAGTTTCATGTCTCTACGACATACGGGGCATGAGATATGCCCATTCAAAGTTTGCAATTTCAATTGGTTGCTATAGCGCCCCCCTTTGGCCAATTGATGTAATATTGCTTCATTCCAAGTGACCAAGTCAGTGAGGAGAAAAACATGCAACAGACACACCCACAGACAGAGTTTTCGTCATTATATAGTAAGATTATCTTGTTAGAAAAGACTGTGTATAGGAGCTCAAACAATAACTAACATTACAGTCGTCATTGCCAGTAGGTATCTCCTTGATGTATAAGAAGGACAAATGTAGACATAAAATACCATAAAAATATAGGTTGTATAATACCAAAGCATAAATATTTTTCCACCACAGACACACTGTGGCAGAGAAAGTGTCAGCTTGTCATTTTATACTATGAATGTCAGCTGATGAAAATGGGTAATCAGTCTGTATAGATGTATTATCAGTGCTGAATCAGTCGATATTTTGCACCTCCTAATCATTTATTGATTGATTGTTTTGCCATTATCCTGCTATGCTTACATGTGTAACGCTATGCAATGTAAACATAATTTCTTTAGCAAATAGCATTAGCCTACCTCCTCTCGTCTGCAGCAGGTAAATCCACTCTGGGAACAGCCCAGCCCAAGCTCTGGATTTCTTCTCCTCTTTGACAGGTAGTAGACATCCCTGTGTCACTGCAGACCCACAGGTCTGCGTGCACAATGTATGGACAGGAGTGTTAGGATCCATTTGTAGCACAACTAGCCAAAACTTTAGTGCATCCATATCCAACAAAGTCTATCACAAAACAGGCATTTTTTTCCTCTGTGGGCAGAGGGTCACAGCAACTCCAGGAATTCCATGGTCTCTCCCCTCATCCACTCTTTGATCCATATACTAACAAATAGTCACATTAATACAGGCAGCAGTCAAATCCAAAAGCCTCATCCACATGATTGAAATCAGCTAAATGATCATCCATGGCACAGAATACATTTTAGATTAGACTTAACTACCTTTACTGTAAAATACTCTGGTTATTATACTCTTGAACTCACACACATTTTCACAGTTGTTTTCCTGCAAGAAGTGACATCTTGTGATATTTCAGAAAGAGACTTCTTCTTAACAAGGCAGCAACAAACAGACCGGATCAAGTGGAAGGTAAAGAGACACTTCAGACACTTATAATAACAATTTGAGCCACTCTATGTCAAAAATAACCACTTTACTGGACAAACAGTGACAATGTTCATTTGCCCCGTGTGCTTCTATTACAGCCGGTCCTTCAGCTGCCGGCTGCTGCCTGCTCACTCAGTACTGGACCAATTTCAAAAATGGTCTTTCACATCAGTCTCTTTGACCACTTTACATGGGGAAATAGGGTCCAGGTTGGAAAATGTCAAGGTTATCATTTAAGGATTTGCTCTGCTGGTCTCAAGTGCTGCAGTAAAACAATGCTAGCACTCCAAAGTAAACTGTAAAAAACACCACTCTCCATATATGACCCAGTTTTCTCCAGCATATCAGAAGTGGTTTGAACTTGTTATGTAGTTCAGAGTAGCTGCATCATCACCAACAGGTCAGACATCACCTTTTCATCCTCAGCAGACTGATCATGAACAGTCAATGCTAGACACAGTGATACCCTGCACTCCCTTAAAGGAACAGTGTGTAAGATTTAAGGGGATTTCGTGGCAGAACATGGTGAGGATTGTAGGTTGCAACCAGGTGAAACTCCAGATTAAAATTCCTTTAGTATTGATTTTTCTGGAGGATTTACTGGGAGCCGAATTAACCACAGAGGTCTCTTCCTCTGAGTTTGGTGGCGTTATGTGGGGGACTGCTGACATTGGACAACTATCAGCAAACTACGATAAGTGGTCAAATTTGTGGAAAAGCTGAGGTGATTGGACAAAATTGCAAGGTCGTGCAGAATTCGCAGAGGTTTGTTTAATTTGCCTCAGTAGTTGTAATCCGGACATCCTGGTGGGGCTGACTATGACCCATGGTTGTTGTTTGTCATGGGACAGAGCAATATGTGCTAAAAAATATTTTAGAAAGATATTTCTGAAAGCATTAAAATTTTCTTATTTTCAAGGCTTTTTTTCCCTTTAGATTAAACTAATAAACTATTAATAACAGTATTACTACACAAATGCATACTGCCCAACAGAGTGGACACATCAAACACATGATGAGAAAAAAAGTAAAATATAATTTTTTCCATGCCTAAAGAACAGTAAATACACTTTGAAAAAAATCCTGACTCTCTCACAGCTGACAGAAGGTCTTGTGGCGTGTACACAGAGTCTGGTAAGCAGAGGGAGTGTTGCAGTTGTAGGTTGGTCCTGTCGAGCAGTGAGCACATCAGTGGTGACAGGGCAGCAGAGCTCAGTGTGCTGCAGAGAAACAGCTTCGTCTGCAGGACGGCCGCCCTGTCTGCTGAGCTCACTGTCATTCCTCACATTCCTGCAGCCTCTGTGCACCAACAGTTAAAGGGCCTGTCTGTCTAAATATTACAGTTAAAGGCCACTCCTACACACAATCAGCTTTTACTCTACACACACATTTGGTGAAGCGTCCTTTAAGTTGAACCTCAAAGTTTAGGACTAGGGACTTGAGTGCAAAGATTTGAGAGTTAACAGTGACTTGGTCCCACCTACCAAGCACTTGTCACCTCCCTCTTTATCACTTCTTGCTATATTTTGTTGTATGAAATATTTTGGTTACTATCACCCATATCATGAAAGGGACATATCGTAATTATGACAAACATGGTCATGTTTTTTTCTACTGTGGGCAGAGATATCCAGTGGTGGATGAAGCACCCTAAAGCCATGAACAGTCTTAAAAATGGAGCGTACATTACACTTCAAGAAAAACAAGGTCTTTTTCACAACTTTAAGGATTTAAAGATCATCGAAGATGAACTGATCTGCAAAAAGTTAGATATGAAACATTTCTTCAATATTTTAAGCAAGATTTCTTGTTAATTTAAATCTTTTACAATTTCAACATAACAAAAATGGAAATGGGTCTTAAGGAAAAGTTTTGGCACCCTGCATGGTCAGTATGTAGTAGCGCCAATCCATTCTTCCCTCTACCTGTGAAATGTTCCCTGTGCCACTGGCTGCAACACAAGCCCAAAGCATGATCCATCCACCCCCATGTTGGACAGGTGTTCTTTTCATGAATTTCTGCATCCTTTTTTCTCCAAGCACACCTTTGCTCATTGCGTCCAAAAAGTTCTATTTTAACTTCATCAGTCCACAGGGCTTGTTTCCACAAAGCATCAGGCTTGTTTAGATGTTCCTTTGCAAACTTCTGACACTGAATTTTGTGGTGAGGACACAGGAAAGGTTTTCTTTTGATGACTCGTCCATGAGGTCATATTTGTACAGTTGTCACTGCACAGTACAACAGTGCACCACCACTCCACAGTCTGATAATCTTCCTGCAGGTCTTTTGCAGTCAAACAGGGGTTTCATTTTCCTTTCTAACAATCCTACGAGCAGCTCTCTCAAAAGGTTTTCTTGGTCTTCCAGACCTCAACTTGACCTCCACAGTTCCTGTTAACTGCCATTTCTTAATTACATTATGAACTGAGGAAACAGCTACC